GGCGACTTTTAGGCAAGCTGAGACTCCCAGAGGCTAGAGGGGAGCGTGGGACAAAAAGCCTGAGCTGCAGGACAGAAAGGGTGGGACACAAAGAAAGAGCAGGAGTTAGCAGAGCGAGAAATTTCCAGGAGCCACTGGGACAGCTCTTAGAGTCCCCGGGGGGTGGAGGGGGGTTCTCTGCTGATAGCCAAGAATAATGGAAAAGTAATTGAATTCTTTACTCCATCTCATGAAAAAATGCCATAGGACCGCCTCATTCACAGCACAGCAATGCTGCTTAAAGACCTCACTCTCTGCCCAATGCACAGCAGCAGAGTCTCAGAGAATTTCTTCCCTGTGCAGGGGCTTGTCTCCCTTACCCTTTTACCTTCCTCCTGCAAGTATCAATTCTTCTTCACCCACCCGTGGCCCTTGGTCCTTTCTAGCACCTCAGTCAAGATGATGAAAATATCCTTCATTCCTGAAAGTTTCCCTGACCCCTTCCCAATTCCTACCTCCTGCCTCTCCCCTGCTTTCTCCGACTATAAATTAGTGTGCATTTGCTAATGTAAATGGAAGTGTACAGTATGTACTCTTTTATAGTCTGGCTTCTGTCATGCATATGCTATATCATTCTTTTTTTTATGGCTGAGCAGGATTCCACTGTGTGTATACACCATTAGACTTCACTTTAAAGATTAGGAACGCAGGACCCAGAGAGGGGATGAAATCTGATTAGTAGAAGACCTTAACAAAAATCCAGAACAGGGAGGAAAGAGGACCATGTTTTCCTAAAACCCAAAAGCACTTTGCACTATGACATCATATGGCTGCCATGAGCACATCAGTAACCAAGCAAAACTGTGCTTGTTCCAATCTCTCTCCAGATCTGATCAGGTCCTGGGCCACAAGGGGAACCGGGGCAGCTTAGCAGAAATTACTTCCGGGGGGACTCAGAGAAATGATTTAACTGCTGGTCTTTTCTGTACTAAGCCCTTGAAGAGGTTAGGAATTGAGGAAAGAAGTGCCCCACATTATGTATAAGTACAAAATGTCTTTTAGTTGTACCAGGTTGGATCAAATGAGACAAAGGACTTTAAAATGTTGTGTCAACTGTAAGGCATAAATCAAAGGCAGAGTTTTCTTTTCCATCAGAAACTACTTCAAGATTTATTTTGTGCTCAGATTAAAATTTAACATCTAAGACTGCTGATCCAGGAAAAACAAAACAAACAAGGGTCTTTGAGAACCTTCAGCGAAACAGTTCAAAGAAGTTATAACATTATATCACAATCAGCAACTGTGTGGACCTCTGTGGGAGGGGACTTCAAGTTCTTTGGGTCCATGATAAATCCTACAGAACTAGCTCTGGGACTCTGACCTCTGGCATCACTCCTTCCCATGCCCAAAGTGACAGTGAAAGCTTTCTTTCCATCTATCACCATTCAGCTATTTGGTGTCCAACTTCTACCGTGTCCAGAATCCTAGGGTGTCCCCAACTTGGTTGGACTCCAGGGACAACTGTCTAAAGAAATCTGGGACTGAGACTAAACTCTTGGTGGCCCCTGCAGCGCCACGCACCAGTGTTACTCGTAGACCCTGGCTACCCTAAGTGTGGGCAGCAAGGTGGGCAGTGTTCCCATCATCCGGGAGTTTCTTAAAAATGCAAATTCTTGACACTCTTCCCCCATTGGAACCCACAAGTAACAAGATCCCGGGGATTCGTGTCACATTAAAAAGTATGTGAAGCTCATGTCTAGACTAGTGTTTCTTCAACCTTAGCACGTATCAGAATCTTCTGGATGCAGCTGCTGCTGGTGCACCTGGCCAGGGGGGCCCCAGTCTGAGAACCACTGCTCTGGCTCTAGAGCTAGATGATTACAGAGATGAAGTGGATCCTTTCCCATTTGCTGGGTTGATGGAGAATCCTTGCATGTCCAACTCAGCCTGAGAGAAGAAGCCAGAGAAGCTAACACTCCTCAGAGACTGGGACCATGGCCTCCTCCCCTGAGTTGTTTTAACATTGCCTCTTGTTTAAACAGAGCTGTGGACGAAAGGTTCTAGGGCCCCTGTATCAAAGCCAGAGTAACTTTAGGGCAGAGGCTCCATCCGGGAATGTGTTTTCTCCACCTTTAAAACAAACAGACCCGAGGTGCTACAGCTAAGAGCTATGGTCCTGGGAGGGCCCTACCTGAGAATGGGATAGGACGGGTTGGTGACCCTGCACCACCCCTTCTGTAGAGTGTTTTGTAAAGGCCCTTCAAGGCCAGGGCTTTTGTCTTGAGTCCTTCTTGGGAATGCTCAGAGCTCTTAAGTCCACTTGTGCCCTGCACGGCCCAGCAACCATATACCTCGGTACGGGGACACACTGCAAAACACACCAAGGCCAACCATAGCCGTGGGACTCTAATTCAAAGTCTGTACTGTGGGATCCTGCTGCCTTTGTGTTATGAAGACACACCTAAATGCATAGAAAAGAGACTTCAGACAAGCAAAATTATCTTCAAATAGAAATATTTAACCAAAGAAGGACACCAACGCCATTCCAAATAGTAGAGATGAGTGTCAGCTGGTAAGAGGTTGATCCACTCTACCCTAATCACCCACTGGATGAGAGGAGGCAAAATATTTTCACCAAGATTACTTCTCACAAATTATGAATTTAAATCACAAACAGGCTTCAAATAGGAATAATAACTGTCATTGTAGAATGCTTATTATATGTCAGGATCCATTATCCTCATTTTGCAGATGTAGACTCTGAGGGACAGATTATGACATACGTATTTGGCTCAAGTTTACAGAGGCAGTTTGATATCCAAACATGTATTCTCAACCATAAACCAAATGTGGCAGATTACAAAAACAACAGCTTGGTGTGGTAGGGAAAGAGTTGACCGTTATTGTGCATGATAGGGGTTAAAAACAAAAACAAAAACAAAAACAAAACGAAAAAACCCAAAACAATTTTTTTAAGCATTGGAACTCTCTTTGCCTATTTATTTATTTATTTATTTATTTATTTATTTATTTATTTATTATTTAGAGGCATGGGGTGAGAGACAAAAATCTCACGAGGAACACTATCTCATACAACAGATCAAAGTAGAGCTTTTCTGGTGGAAGCCAGGCAGAGGCCCTGGACCCCTTCCCATCCTCACAACCCCTCCTCCACCGCACTCTGGTCCCGCCCTGTATTCATTCATAGTGAGCAGTACTACCATGCAGGTCTCTGCTCTCAATATTTCCAAACCCAAGTCCATTCCTTGCCTGCTACCCACCTGGGATAACGAAGAAGTTCTTCCCCAGTTCCGGTCATGAGAGCCCAGGGCCAAACATGGATGTGTCCTGGAGGGGAATGGTCCTGGGGGTGCACAGCCTTTGAAAGATGGGTGGAATACTTGAAGTAGACAAGTTTTACTGAGCATCCAAAGTTACAGTTAGTAGTTTAAAAAAAAGGTCGGAGAATTGTTTAGAAAATGTTGTAATAGGGACTCCAGGGAGAGTGTTGTGTCTAAATACCTGGTGTCTACTTACATAAAAGCCCAGCCCAACTTGGAATTGTGTGCAGGCACCATCATGTACATTAAGCATTAATGGGTTGGCATTAACTCTAAGCCGAAGGCATTCATGGATTGGGTGTATTTTAGGGGGAGGGAGCACAGTGCCAACCCAGCTCTAGCTCATGGAGTTCCTACACCCCACCGCCTCCACAACTGAAGACTTCGGTGCCCAAGGCTTTGGTAGCTCCATAAAAAACCACCATCCACAGCACTCTCTATGGAGGGACCTCAGGTGGATCTGTCCAGGGACCAAAGTGGCAAGTAACTCGCTGCTCTCTCCATGCCATCCAAAAGGCCTACAGCTGCCATTCTATGGCACTGAATTGGCTGGGCCAATCAGGGTCAGTGTTGAGAGGTCAGCATATCCAGACTTTTCTACCTGGGCATTGAACTTCTGGAGTGGCAGGAATTCAAAGGGCTATGTTGGTCCCTTTTAGGTGGTCCATTCAATCAATGGCTGGTTTGACCCATTCAGTGGTGTTGGTGGAGGGTGGTTCTCACCTTTATTTTTTTTTTAAAGATTTTATTTATTTGACAGAGAGATAGAGAGAGAGCACAAGTAGGCAGAGCGGCAGGCAGAGGGAGAGGGAGAAGCAGGCTCTCCGCTGAGCAGGGAGCCAGATGTGGGGCTCGATCCCAGAACCCTGGGATCATGACCTGAGCCGAAGGCAGATGCTTAACTGACGGAGCCATCCAGGCACCCCTGGTTCTCACCCTTAAAAAAAAACACTTTAGCCTGTAATCACTTTTGACATTCTAGTAGACATCTTCAGTCTCTTTTCCTTTGCATCTTTTTTAACATAGCTAAATTCACAATGTATATTTGAATTTGTGCCTTGTTTTTCTTTACTGACTTCTATCATAAGCATTTTCCCATGTATTAATTACTTTTTATAAGCAACAGGTAATCTTGAGTGAGGTAAGTAAGCTTATCTGCACCCTTGGTTTCTTCATGTGTAGAATATAGACAATTGTATCATGCAACAGTCACCTGGAAAGCTTTTAAAACACAGATTGCTGGGCCCCACCTCCAGAATTTCTGATTCAGTGGGTCTGGAGTAGGGCCTGGGAATTTGCACGCCCAACAGGTTCCCAGGAGATGCTGATGCTGCCAGTCAGGAGACCACACTTGGAGAACCAGTGAAATGCGGAGATCGAGTTGTGGGATTTCCAAGGTCACTGCTGGTTTCAAAATCTAAGTGTTTGCATATTTTTCAAATTCTTTGAAAAAATCCAACCAACTTTTAAAACACATGACTTTTCTAAACTTTAACAAAACCTCATGATTTTTTTTAAATACAAAAGAGTATCATCTACCATTTAAAAGTAATTGTTTCCACTTGTAACTCATATGCATTCCATACTTGCTTCTCTTTGAAGTTACCTGTATTTTTAAAAGGATATCTTTAAAGGACAGTTAGACTTATATCTAATACTTTATTGTTTTTCTTTACATAGTTCCATATGTATTGAAGAGCTGTGCAGAATTTATAGAGACTCATGGCATTGTGGATGGAATTTATCGGCTTTCAGGAGTCACCTCAAATATACAAAAGCTAAGGTAAGCTGAAAGAATAGCCCCCAAAAGAATTCTCCCGCGGTCCTTCCTCTGTGCATAACTCCGCCAGTGCTGGGACTATTAAAAACCTGAAGGGGTTGAGGGAGGGCTGGCAGAGCAGATCAGTGTGATGTTTTCAGATGCCAAAGTGTTCTTAATCTAATCAGGAAATCCTCTAGTCTGATGTAATTCTTTCCAACAAAAGCTCCTGAGGGTTTTTAATCTGTTTCTTTGTCTTGCACCAGGTTTATCCTTCTTAGGTGGATTCAGTTGAACTCAAATGATTTAGATCACAAGTTAGAACAATGTGATTTAGTATTCACTTGCCTACCCAGAGCTCAGTTAGGTCCCTGTTCAGAACTTGGAGATGACGCGAGTTTTTCTGTTGACACAGACTCAACATTTGACAGTTCACTTGGTCAGGAGATAAAAAATCTACACGATAGTGCATTTCTCTCAATGAGGTTGATATTTTAAAAAATTATGGGTAGATGAACTATTTCCAATTCTATAGATTTATCCTAAACAATTCTAAAATATATCCTAGAATTTGGGGGAAGAAATTTCTATCACATTGAATTAAGAGTACAATAACCTTGGGGCGCCTGGGTGGCTCAGTCGCTAAGCGTCTGCCTTCGGCTCAGGTCATGATCCCAGGGTCCTGGGATCGAGCCCTGCATCCGGCTCCCTGCTCAGTGGGAAGCCTGCTTCTCCCTCTCCCACTCCCCCTGCTTGTGTCCCCTCTCTCGCTGTGTCTTTCTCTGTCAAATAAATAATTAAATCTTTAAACAATAAAAAAAAAAGTACAATAACCTTCACGCAAAACACAGATATGTATGTGTGTGTTTTATATGTATTATATATATAAAATAAAGGGAGTAGATATATATTATATTTACAGAGTGTTTTATCAGGTGTTATTTTTATATATTTCTATGTTTAATTATAAGTGTAGACTTTTAAAACAATAAAAACATTCATGTTACCATTAAATTGAATAGATTGTACAGTTAATTCATCTTCTGTCTTCTTCCTCTGATTGGGTTTTCGGCCCCTCCTCCCCCCATCGCAATTGTAATGACATTCCACGAAAGGAATAAGACATCCTTTTTACTCCTGGAGAAGTGGCGACTGTTAAAAACTAATTGCTTTGTTGCAACCATCAATTTTAACAGATCTATGTACTTACATAATTTCACTAATTTACCTGTGTGACGTTTTTTAGAGTTTCAACAGCAAATACTTTCTAATGTTTTACCCTTAGCTCTGAAATAGACGACACAGTAGTTGGTATGGTGGGAGAACACTTGGGCGATAGCCAAATTCTTTTTCATTAAAGGACAGACCTAAGCCTCCGCAGGGAAATTTTGGCTAAATAAATGGATAAGCTCCAAATTTGTTCTTGTTCTGCTCTTCTGCTCTCTTAAAAACAAAAACAAAAACAACAAAAAGCCGAAGAAACAAAAAACACACTGGTGAATTTATAAGGCGCTGCAAGGTTTTCTTTTCAGGGCCCCACCCAGCTCCTTTCAGGTTCAGACAGCATCAGGGATTTCCCCACTCTTTGTTAAAGGGCCAGAACCAGGTGACAGGAAACCGGGCAGGGGGCCGTTTTTGAAATGCTGGCTCTGTGAGTCCCGTTGAGTTTGCCACTATTCGGCTGACCAGATGAATTCTCTCAAGAAACTTAACTTCTCCTCTATATGAAAGCTCCAATTTGTCACTTTTTTAAACAGGTTTTTAACTTGTAAGTATATATTATATGAAGCAGTGTATTCACATCACCTTGGTCAAGAAATATTTTTCAGTTAGAAACAAGGCCTGGAATCTGATGTTGTTCCCAAACACCTCACTGTACATTGTTCATAAGAAGATATTTATAAGCTCATCTATCCTGTGAGAGTCACTATCAGGCAGCTTGGAAGGGTTCGAGTCTCCAGATAAACAAGTTTGTTGACATGAGTATATGGAGATGAATGATAACAATCTGACTCACCCTGGTTTTGGTCTCTCCTCCAAGAAAGAGAAGTTCATTTAGAACAATCTTTTGGAAGAACTGAAATCTCAACAGGCTTTTTTTGGCAACAAAAATTCATATTTCCCCACTGTTCATAACTGAGACTGGGACATAATGCCCTGAGAAATCCATTTGTAAATGGGCATGTTTTTCCAGTGACAGCAGCTTTCACAGAGAAGATCCAGACCTGAAGTGGAAGACTTCCCGGAGTTTCCTTGTGCCGGGAAGAGAAGGTCATCTTGATGGAGGTCAAAAACAGAGTCAGATCAGCAGTTTAGGGTCTTTTTACCCTTAAGCAGCCAAGCAGCTGCTGACATGGAACACATGCTCTCGGGATTGTTATGTCTCTGTCTGTGTTGTTTCAGGCAAGAGTTTGGCTCAGATCAATGTCCAGATCTGACAAGGGAAGTGTACCTCCAGGACATCCACTGTGTGGGCTCACTCTGCAAGCTCTACTTTAGGGAGCTGCCCAACCCCCTCCTGACTTATGAGCTCTATGAGAAATTCACGGTGAGTGTTTGGATTTCCATTATGGTTATTGGGTGGGACTCCTAGATGGGCCAAGGAGAGTTTCAACACTAAAATAACAATAATAAAATTCACCAGATGGTTGACATTATCTTAGCCAGGTAATGGAAGTAGGATACTATAGTGAGGAAAGTAAGGTAGTGGGTCCATTGGCTAAATTTTTCCTTTCTTAGATTTTCAGAATCATGTTTATTTGTTTCAAGAGCTGGATTAGAATTATCTCTGTGTTTACTTAACCAAATGTGCCTCATTGTATAGGGGGAAGCTAAGCACCAGAGATGTGAAATGACTGGCCCAAGGTCACACAGCAGGACAGGAACCTAAGACTCCAGATGTACACCTACAGCTAGTTCATTTTCATCAGGCTTCTCCTTTTGTAGTTCTTTTGGGGGTTGGGGAATGAGGTAGGCAGGTAGAGAAGGGAGAGAGAACAAACCCAAGTCAAGGGAGAGATCAGGAAGCTGGAAAGAGAAAAGAATCTGGGAAATGCAGCCAAGAGGAAGAGCAGGCTGGGCCCATGAGTTGGGTTGGTGGAGGGTGGATGGGTAGAATCCCTTACTAGCACCTGTGTGGTCACCAAATAGGGGCACCTGTAGGAAAAGTACAAAGAATAAATGCTTACAGGATGTCTGTAGAGATAGCATTAAAAATCAGGCTTGAACGTTTGGCTGCTGGGGTGGAGGTGCAGAGTAGGTGGAGAGATGGGTTTAACCAAGATTGAGGTTCATCTAATGAAGGGGGGTGAGGAAGATGAGGGTGTATGCAGGAGAGTGATTGAAATAGTTGACCATGGAATTTTGTCTGGATAACAGGGGAAGTGAGGCCATAGGCACTGAGTGACAGTGAAAAAGTATTATCAATGGATTATTCATCCAATGAGGTCAATAGACTGTTAGAGTTGGATGGTCAGGGGGGTGCTTGCAATTAAGATTATGGAGGAATTGCAATTATTGATAAGGACCAGGTCTAGGCTCTAACATGGGAAGCAATCTTTCTCATGGCTCCTGTAATAAACTTATTCTGAGCATATAAAAGTTTGTTCACTTCCAAACGATATAGGAATAAGTGGATGCATTTTAAAAGTTGGGTTTGGACCATTAAAATATATTTAAGAGTTTTCAATAATAGAGGGAAACACTCATAATGATAACCAGAAAAGAAAAGATGCATAATTTTACATTAAAATATGATTAAAAAGAAAGATGTTCAAAGGATTAATAGCCATTTATTTCAATGATGAGATTATAGTTTTCCCTGCTTCTTCAGACTGTTACTTTCAAAATCTCATCTACTAAAAGTATGTTAATTTTTTAATGAAAAAAATTAGGCCAAAACACAAAGAACTTGGGCCTAGAGGTTGACTACTGGAGAAGCCACATATGCAAGCTGATGTGAAGTGTCAGGGGTTTGTGGACCCTAAGGCTGAAGGCAAATGAGCCTCCACTCTGAGTGGCTACGTCAAATATAATGGCAGCCTCTAGCCATTGAAACCATAGAGGAGTCTTTCCTGGGAACCAGGAGGAAAAGTTGTGGGTCTCACGTGAGTCGGCCAGATTATAATCTGTGATTATTTCCTCATTTTAAAAGTAATCATATTTGGTAACAGTTTGGAAAATGGAAGGAAGTAGTAAAGAACCCTTTGTCTCCTCTCTTAAAATCCAAGGACAGCTACTGTTAACATGTGGGTATTTCTTTCACTCTTTTATTCCTCGCTTAGTGTTTTTGTTCTATTTTGTTTTCCCAAATCAAAATGGGATTTTATTGCAAAAATGAAAGCAATACAGGAGAGTGTAAAGGAGAAAGTATAAATCGCTGGAAATCCCACACCCCAGGCATATCCCCTGCTAACATTTCAGGAGACATCATTACAGATCTTTCTCCTTTTCCCTCTCTCTCTTTCTCTCTCCCCACTTTCCCTTCTCAGTACTATATATATCGCTGCTTTGGAATGTTAACTCAACAATGTGACCATCTTTCTGTACTAACAAATAGAGAAACACTATTTTTACAGAGTATTTTCTCATATGCGCAATGAATTTCTGAAGCCAGTTTCCTACTGATGAACATTTTGACTTTTTGTTTCTCAACACTTAGATTTTATAATAATAAATATTTTTGTATATATATCTTTATCCTTTTCTCTGTTTATATCTTTAGGAAAAAAATCATAGATTTGGATTTATTGAGTAAAAAGCTCTTACTTAAAATTTTGTTATGTATTGTCAAATTGTTCTCCAGAGAGATTAAGAATGGTCTTTTCCCTGCAGCCTCACTAACACTCAGTATTTCTAATTTGTTAAATTATTTGCCAATCTGAATCAACCAAAAATATCTTATTTTTGTTTTAATTTGTGCATAAGACTTTATTGTCTTTTTCTACATAGCTTTAATCCTTTTATCAGTATAATAATACATCTTAGAATATGATAGAATAGAATAGCATCATGTTAAAGAACAGAATGAGTCTAATTTATTTTAACTAAATTTCATTTTATGATAGCTGGGAGTAGATAAGAATTCTTATCTGGAAACTTCAGAAATATGTTTTTTTGTTAAATCTTGCTTATAGGCTCAGAACAAAACCCAGATTTATCTCTTCCCACTTTTGTTCCCTAAAATTGTTAATCGTTCTCTTCTCCCACAGCAACAGAGTAATACCAAAGCAACATTATTTTCAACTTGTCATCAGATTTCTAGGAAATCTAACATGGTATTAATACTAAAAAATAAAATAAATGTTCTGCTGTGCAACTGATTTCTACATAAGTAGGACCTAGTGAAGTTAACTATGTTGAAAAATTTATCATTTAATTGATTTCTTTGGTCACAATAACAGATTATGATAATATAAGCAAACCTTCAGGAATATGGAAATAGCTCTGTTAACATTGTCACACATTCTTAAAATGATTTATTTAAACCCACTTGCACAGCTAAAGTAGAATACTATCTCAGTGGAATAACAGATAATAATGAGTTTATTTATTGAGTACTTACTATATGATAAGCTTTTTAAAATATTATTTCATTTAATCTTTAGAATAACTCTATAAAGTAGGTTTTATAGTCTCTTACAGATGAGTGTATTACAGATCAGGCTCAGAGACACTCTTGTCTGGGTTTGTACGGTTAGTAAATAGAAGGAAAGATTTAATATTCTGTCTCAAAACTACCATACTATTTTAAAACAGAGTTAACAGCTCCTAAGTAGGCCCAGGTAGTCAGTAACTTAATATGAGATAAAGAAAGCATCCCAGGCTAACAAAGAATTCAATAAACAGTATTAGGAAAATTGACTATTGGGAAAGGAGGAAAGTCAAGTTACATTCTTACCATTTAACAGATTTCAGGGGAAAGAAAGCTTTCTAACAACAAAAGCAAAAGGAAAAAGATCACCAGAGACAAATGTAACAAACTAAACTACACATAATTTTTTTTTTTTTTAAGATTTTATTTATTTATTTGAGACAGAGAGAATGAGAGAGACAGAGAGCACATGAGAGGGGGGAGGGTCAGAGGGAGAAGCAGGCTCCCCGCCGAGCAGGGAGCCCGATGCGGGACTCGATCCCGGGACTCCAGGATCATGACCCGAGCCGAAGGCAGTCGCTTAACCAACTGAGCCACCCAGGCGCCCCACATAATTTTTTTCTATATAAAAAACACATTAACAAAATTAAAAGGCAAATGGTCAACTATAAAAAAACATTTACAATAAAGATGACAGGAGATTAATGTTCTTTAATTATACAGAACTCCTACCTATTGATAAAAAGAAAAAAGCCCCACATAACAAAAACCACCTGCTAAACAAATGAGCAAAGAACCTCAACAAACAATTCGTAGAAGAAATATAGTTTTTAAAAAATTATAAATGCACCTGAAACTGATATAACATGGTGTATAACTAGTCAATTTAAAAGAGAAAAGTCAGATAGGTAGACAGGTTTTTTTTAAATTTTATTTATTTGAGAGAGAGGGAGAAAGAGAAAGAGTACGACCAGGGGAGAGGGGTAGAGGGAGAAGCAGGCTCCCCACTGAGCAGGGAGCCTGATGTGAAACTCCATCCCAGGACTCTGGGATCATGATCTGAGCCAAAGGCAGATGCTTAACTGATTGAGCCACCCAGGCACTGTAGATAGACAGTTTTGAAATGTGAAAAAATTTTTTAATTTAAAAATAAAAATTATAAATGTATTAGAAAAATATATTTGCATATTAAATAATTTTTTAACATTAGTATTTCATGCAGCAATCCTGTGTTGACACTGGCTCTTTTATGGTGCTTTGTTGTTATCTTTTTAAGATTTTATTTTCAAATAATCTCTACACCAGCATGGGATCTGAACTCACAACCCTTAGATCAAGAGTGGCATGATCGGGGCGCCTGGGTGGCTCAGTCGTTAAGTGTCTGCCTTCGGCTCAGGTCCTGGGATCAAGCCCCACATCGGGCTCCCTGCTCCGTGGGAAGCCTGCTTCTCCCTCTCCCACTCCCCCTGCTTGTGTTCCCTCTCTCGCTGTGTCTCTCTCTGTCAAATAAATAAATAAAATCTAAAAACAAAAAAACATAAAACAAAACAAAAACAAAAACAAAAAAGAGTGGCATGATCTACCAACTGAGCCAGCAGGTGCTCCTCTATGGTTTTCTATGTTGGAAAGTGTGAATTGGCTGGACACCTCAGAAAGTCATTTGAAATTACTACTGAGAATCCTAAAGTGCTCATATTTTTAAAATATAGTACCTCTATTTCTAGGACTACATTCTAAGATAATAATCAGGTGTGTATACAAGTAACGGACTTCTAAATGCTTCATTGCAATAGTATAATACCAAAATGTGGGGAGTATCTATGTGTCTAACGACAAGGGATATGTTAAATAAATGATAATAAATCTATTATTTTTGGTCCTGGGTAGCCATGAAAAGTTGCATTTCTTAAGAGTATTTATCGGCCACAATGTAAAGTGAAATGGAAGAAAGCAGTATATGCAACTGAATAGGAAGTGATGCATGGTCGTATTTGGTGCTGGGAAGTCAGGCAGATTGCTTCTTATATGCTTCGAATGTGAGGAGGTTAATAGTAGTATGTCTGGCTGGTAGGATAGCAAGTGATTGTTAATTCCTTTGTATTTCATATTTTAATTTTGAACACACGTATTAGTTTCCTGTAGCTGCTGTAACAAATCACCACAAACTTAGTGGCTTAAACAACAGAAATTTGTACTCTCCCAGGTCAAGAGCCCTGGGGGGGGGGGGGCGGTCAGGGGGGGCGCTCGGAAGTGCTGCTCACCTTTTCCGGCTTCCGGTGGCTGCCCGCACTCAAGGCTTGTGGCCACATCACTCCCATCTCTGCCTCCGTGATGGCGTGGTCCTCTCGTCTTCTGTCTGTGTCAGATCTCCCTCTGCCTCCCTCTTACAAGTATAGCTCTGATTGCATTTAGGGCCCATCAAGTTAATCCAGGATCATCTCCTCTCAAAATCTTTAATTGAATCACATCTGCCAAGACTCCTTTCCCAAATAAAGTAACATCGACAGGTTCCAGAGATTTGGACCTGATATCTTTGGGAGCAATTGTTCAGCCTACTATATTACATTTTATTTTTATCAGAAAAAAGTTCATTTTAGGAAAAATTCAATTTTGATCCCATTGATTCAGCTGGAATTATTACACCCAAAAGAAAAGTTGCTGATTTGGGATTTTTAGAGAAGGCAGTTTAGAGAGGTGTTTAATTTTATACTGAGTTTATATTGAAATAACTTCTTTGTGTATCAGTCTCCCTCATTCAGTTGTAAGCTTCCTGAGGGCAGAAACAGTGTTCATTTTGTTCATTGTTGTGTTTCCTTTTCCTGCTCTCCAGCTGCTGGAAAATGTTTACCTAGTAAGCCTCTGCTGACAGGATTGTGGACCCACGTGGACATATCATTTGAAAGGTCCCTTGGGGTGGGCTACTAGTGTGTGGCAGGAGGCAAAAGCAGACTGGCTGGGAGCTCAAGATAGCTGCAAGGTTGGGGGGGGCAGGGGCCAGCTGCCCTTGGTTTGCCTAGGACCACCCCAGTTTTAACACTGAAAGTCCTATGTCCCAGGAAACCCTTAATCTCAGGCACACCAGGATGATGGGAAATTGCAGATGGGCCAGGTCACGTAATTCTAGCCAGGGTGCAGGGCTGCAAGAGCACCTGACTCCTGGGGTGCCACAGGGGCCAGGTTCCATCACTCGCCACTGACGAAATCCAAAGGCAGAGACGTGAGTGGTGGTGGAACAAGAAAGGAATTTATTTCAGTGAGGCCAACAGTGGGGAGGCTGCGGACTAGTGTCTCCAAGACTGTCTCCAAAGTCCCGAAGGTACTTTCCAGGTTTATATAAGGAAAATGTGGGGCAAAGGTGGGTGGGAACATGCAGGTGGGCAGTGAAGGTCTTTGTCTTGGGGTCAGTCACACAGGGTCTTGCCCTTATGGCTTGAGGGGTAGTTTCATTCCCCTCAGGGGATGCTTTGCCTGTAGGGTCTTTTGCCTAAATTAAGAGATAAGCTGGAAAGAAGAACCTAATCAACTGAAAGTTTGAGGTCAAATGGAGGTAGTTCAAGTTCTCTGTCACAATCAGGCTTGTTTCACGTGTGTGACAAAGATGGAAAGGTAAGGACTGTCTGGAAGGACACACAGAGGTTGCCTCTGGAGACAACCTCCGAAGATCTGCGGTCGGCAGGAAGGCTTACTTTCCTCTGTGTACTCCTCTGAATGCTTTCGTTTTTTAAATGACAGGCATGAATTACTTTCTAGTCTAATTGCGTAAAATAATTTACTGAGTTGTAGCTGGGGCGCAACTGGAAAGGAGAGACATGGGTTGTTTGTCCCCCCTGGTGACACGGCTGCCCCGGCAGCAGGACTTGAGCTCTAAGGGTGACAGCCGTGTTCAGGTAAACAGATAAAACAAGAGCAAGGGCCCACCAGCAGGAGGGAGAGGCCAGTCTTGGACCAAGTCCTCAAAGGGCAGGCAGGAAGCCGGTCTTATTGATACGGATTGGAAGAGAACGAATAGTCAACAGATTCATCCTAGGTCTTTTAAGATTTAACTCTTAGCCAGATTAGCTTGGCAAAAGTTGAGTGAAATTCTCTCTCAGGCAAAATATTGGGGTAGGCAAAGCTTCAACTCCCCTCCCCCAACTCCCTGATGATAGGTTCAGCCAACCTAATGGGGGAACAGAGAGCTAAAAATAAGTTTGTAGGACTGGACCCCTGGAGGAGAAACTACAGGATCTAGAGGGCTTCTGAAGGGGGGGGGGGGCGGGGGAAGAGGCTGTGAACAATGAAATAAACAAGAATCCCAAATGGGACCTGCAGGCATTAGGGGAAGACCCGCCCAACCTCTCAGAACAAAGATGACTAACAGCTTCCTAAAATATCAAAGAAACTTTCCATGAGGGCTATTAAATTGACCTGCACCTTTATTCCCCAGACACACTTTTAGAAAATGGGGAGCACTGTACAAAGTTTGCTGAAAGGAAGAGAGGCTTCCCACCCTTCCCCCTTTGCAGGACAGAATGTGGGAGGGTCCACACAGCATTACACAGCCCCTCCTTCCTCAGGAGCTTCTCTCCCCTGGCTCCCCTTGTGAGTTTCTCAGGAAGAAAGCAGCGGTGTTGGTGTTCCTACTCCAGGCCCGATCTTATTCCCTCCCTCCACCTCCTCCATATCTCAAAAATTGAGGGTTGCAACAGAGATCATGCTTCTGCTGGTTCTATTCTCAGGCTTGCACCCCCACCTGAAGATTGGGACACCTGTGACCATGACCCTCCCGGTGCCTCATTTCTCCCACCAATGCTTGGGAAGCAAAATCTCAAGTTTTCCCCTGTGGAGAATTTTGACAGCTTTTGAAAAAATAGTTGGTGTCTTTGTTTTACTTCAGTTAAATTAAAAGGGGAGGGGAGAGGGGAGAGAAGGAAAGGGGGAAAAAATGGGTGGACAAAGCCCTGGCATGATGTCCCACTTAGATGGAGTATGACAAAGCCAACAGATCTGGAGGGAGCCCCTACTGGGTGCCGGGCACTGCTCTAGGCGCTAGGACTCCTCACACCTGCAGAGCTTCCATCTAGCATGGGAGACTGACAGTAAGCAACAGGCCTAATTACTAAGTACGTGCTGTAGTATCTGTAATGGTGGGGAGGGCTGTGGGAAACAATGGAGACAAGTAAGGGAGTTGGGAAGTCCAGGCTGGGGCAGCACTTAGGACCTCTCCTCCTAAGTTAAAGCAGACCAGACACCGCAAATGTGGCCTAGAACAGGGCCTGGCATAACAGAAAGTGCCCAATCAATTTCCTTCTTTTCTGTGCCTAAAAATTCTCATTACTGGGAGTCAAAGTGAAGAATGCATGTCCTGATTTGACTTTTCCTTATATACAAATGTAAAGTAAGTTTCTGGCACTGGGAGGAAATTCAAGACTGTAAGTCACAGATGCCTGTGAATTCGGGGTTATTAAGGATTGACATGAGCTCAGGAACTGTCTTTAAAGTGTGTCTTGATCTAGGTGGGGTTACAACGGTATATGCATATGAAAGAAAAAAAAGAAAGATGTGATTACCGTTGACCTTGCACTTAGGTACTGCTCCCACACTGCAGTTCCTGAGCGTTTGGCCACTGCACTGGAAGGGGCCACCTTGAGCCTGGGCACAGGCAGGACAGCTTCTCAGGACAGGGCACTGGCATCTGCCCAGGGACATCTACATCAGGCAGAAATTCTGGGCAAGCCTGTGATCACACTGCCTTTACAAATGCCCTTGGCTCTCCTTGAAGGACCCGGCAGACTGAAGTGATGCAGGCTGCCTGGGTCCTCTGACCCAGAGTGGGGAGTCCCATAGGACCAGCCAAGAGGGTCCTTGGCTTGTCACAGGATGGAAATCAAATGCAAGCCAAGAAGAAGAGTAGAGTTTATTGAAGACATGGAGAGAGTAGATACAGAGCATTTTCCAGAAGACTCAGAAAGGAGAAAAGAGTGAGTCTCATCTTTACTTGGGGCCTGAGGTTTTTATTGAGGTGTGGTGCATGTGTCCTCTCAGTAATCCAGGAACAAAGACTCCGTAAGTCACTTATGCCCTGGAGCCAAGGGGTCTTGATGAGTCAGTGGTCTTGGAAACTGGTCATGACAACCCAGGTCACTCCTTAGATGTCATCTATTGTGCTGGAAGCCTCCAAAGAGATCATTAACTTCTCTTCCTTTGCAAGGAGGACATATGTTATCTGTTCTGTAAGTCCTGTGTAAGGCGAGGGGTGCAGGTCCTAGCAAGAACAGAAGCAGGAAAAGAAGCAAAGAGAAAAACAAACAAACAGCTTTTTTTTTTTTTTTTTTCATGGGATCCCTTTGGTTTCCCTGTCTCAGGAGAACAAATACCCACACAGGAAACAACCAGAGAGCACGTCCAGGTGAGACCATGAGGTCTCAGGGACAAGGTTCTTAGTCTGCTGAGAAGGCTCGTCTTCCCTGCTTCCTCACATCAGCATCTATAACAGTAGATGAGCCACTGAATAGTGAGGTCATGGAATTGTGTCAGGCCAGGTAGGAAGCAGCTGTTTGCACCCAAGAAGACAGCTGACTGAGTAAACATGGAGCCACCCTGTCATCCCTGTCTCTCTCTGTCTCTGTCTCTTTCTCTCTCCCAGTGTGAACCTCCATCCCTCTCTCTGCCACACCACACACCCAAGATTCTACACCTGTGTCAGATACCTAACAACCTTCTGAGGACGCACAGAGACCCGAGCAATCCACATGTCCCCGTGTGCACTCACTGTTAGATGCTTCGCATCACGAACCCTCGGGTTTTAGTTGTTTGTTTTTACTAGAAAAGCATGCCTCTTGGAAGGATGATCTCTAGGCCTGGTTGGGAGGCTGGAGTACCAGAAACCTAAATAAAGCCAGGAGACAAGGTGGGCATCCACCCTCTCAAGCACTCACTGGGCTGCTTCACGTGCTTCCCCACAGGAGGCAGTGTCACCTTGCCCGGAAGAAGGCCAACTGGCCCGCATCCAGAATGTCATCCAGGAGCTTCCCCCATCCCATTATAGGTAAGAATCCTTGGTAAAAGATGTCCGTGACCTCTCAAGGTGGTATAATACCAGAGATGCAGGCTGGTGTCATAAAAGGAAACAAGTTCATAACTTTCCTGTGGTATTTTGAGGTGGGTGAACAGGTCAACTTTTCTCAGAATGCGTCGGTGCCTGCCCGGGGACATTGGCGGGAAGGGGCAGCCCATGTCCTATTCACTTGTGGGGCCCCCCTCAGAGTCTCACAGGAAGTCATTCTGATCACACAAGCCAGCCTCACTGGCTGTGGTATCCTAGGTTCTTACCCAGATTCATAGCATGAACAAATCTCTGGAATTCGGGAGGGTTTTTATTTTTATTTTTTTAATTTTATTTTTTTTTAAAGATTTTATTTATTTATTTGACAGAGAGACATAGCGAGAGAGCGAACACAAGCAGGGGGAGTGGGAGAGGGAGAAGCAGGCTTCCCTCTGAGCAGGGAGCCCGATGCGGGGCTCGATCCCAGGACCCTGGGATCATGACCTGAGCCGAAGGCAGACGCTTAACGACTGAGCCACCCAGGCGCCCCCGGGAGGGTTTTTAAGAAGAGTTTGGCTTGAGCTCTTGAGTTTCTGGCTGACTGATCTCTCTGTTGGCTCACCAATACCATCCCTCACATCTTCCCATCCTTCCATTTTGTTCTCACAGTTTAGTCCCTCATCTTACCACCTTTCCCAGGGTTCTCTAAGCCTCTTTTACAAGGGGGCAGATTTTGATGCAGTATAACAAAGAACTTCCTACAGTAACAGATGTCATTCATCCATGAGATGAGCTCTCCAACTAACAAGGACCAGGTTATCCGCAGCTGGGATAATTCCAGAAAGAGCAGAGATAAGAACCAGTTTCAAGACTATGTGGCAGCAGCGGTGGCCTGGGTAAAAGGAGGCCCAGGGAACTGCCTCTGGCTCTCCAAGGGCCTCAACTGACTTCTGACAAAACCATTCCCCGTCTCCACCCTGGGCCAGCATGCCTAGGGCCAAGAAGATTATTTCCATCAGTCTTGATACCTTCCTGATATTCCTTCAAAATTCATGAGATAGAAATATTTAGAATCTCTTAAATCCAAACATAGAAATCATCTCCAGATGTCAGGCTTTACACAGGCACTAAAGTTTCTTTGTTAAAAAAAATTAAAAAAAAAAAATGAACCATTACAGGACCTTGGAATACCTGATTCGACACCTGGCCCACATTGCCTCCTTCAGCAGCAAGACCAACATGCATGCCAGGAATCTGGCCTTGGTGTGGGCGCCAAACCTGCTCAGGTAACCACCGTACCCTCACCTTCTCACCACCCCCATGGGCTCAAAGCAGCCCACCAACTGAAACGAAGGCCCGTGAAGACACACCTGTAGCTAAGTGGTCATTTGTAACACATATAAATTAGGACGATTGTAATAGCCTGAGCTGTTTGTCTGCTATCCTGGAAACTTCTGGGTTCCAAAGGCGTTTTCTGGCTACAACCAGCATATGGCTAAAGTTACGGGTCTGTATGTTATAAGTTCTTGAAGAGGCCTTTCTGGTCTTTAGGGCTCATTGGCTTTTGTTAGTTTTGGTGGGGTCACTGCTTCATAGGACTTCACAAATGATGACCTGACCCACAGAACAATTGGGTGGGGGTGGAAGGAGATCCTATGCAGAAAAAAAATCAATTCGTGTATATTCACAAATACAGTGTTTATAGTCTAGCGATGCATGGTACCTGGTCATTGCTTTCAAATTTGTTCAGGCTTCACAGCCTTTGGGGAGGCCTCTTAATAGGTCTTAAATAGTTAAAACAGTCTAGAGATTAACTAACTGTATGCATTTAGGAAATGGGGCTTGTACAAAAGGCCCACGGGCTCCCCCTGACCGCTTTCTGTTGTGGGGCAGACTCACTCACTGACTGTGTTTCATTCATGATTTAGATCCAAAGAAATCGAAGCCACTGGGTGCAATGGAGACGCGGCTTTCCTTGCAGTTCGGGTCCAGCAAGTGGTGATTGAGTTCATACTGAATCATGTGGATCAAATCTTTAACAATGGCACACCTGGGTCTTTGGAGAACAATGGTAACGACTGCTTCTGGCATACTCCCCAGCAGGCTGTCCTTCTTCCTTGCCTTAGTGCTGGGGCCCAAGAAGAAGTTAGGGTGGGCTTGCTTCGAGCTCTGGGCGTTGGCTGTGGGCGTGTGTGCCGACTACTTCGTGTGTCAGCATCCGGGGATCGTGCATATGTGTACACGGGTCTGTGTGCAGCAAGATGTGTTCGTGGGCAGCTGTAGCATGTTTCTGAGCATTGTCTACATGACCTATCCCTTGAATGCAGAGTTCTGTGCTGGAGTAATCTGTTGGTTTTAGTGAGTTATTAAACTCTCTGGGTTATTATCTACAGGAAACATTCCTCCCTCACCTTTACTTTCATTGTGCTATTTCAGAAGACCCTTAGGTCTTCGTCTTGGAGTTTTATGTGAAGGGGTTAAGAGGCAGCGTGGTCATATGCACGTGTATATTCAGAATGTGTTCTCTTCGCAAGCATTTCTTGAGTGCTTACTTTGTTCTACCCCGCACCAGGCACTAGGCCTACAAAAATGAGTGTGTATTGTGGGCACGCGTATGCAGAAACTGGTTAGTGCTGAAACCCTCTGTGGCCATGTTGGTGAGAACGACATAGCTCTTTGAGGCTGGATGTGATAAGATGCAAGACTATGATTTCCGATAGCTCTCATAATGATATAATGAACACTAGGAATGAATTGGTTTCTGTTGCTTGAACTCCTGTGAGCCTAATTTGTAAAAATCAAAAGTCTAGTTGGTCAAGAAGGCTTTTTTTTTTTAAGATTTTATTTATTTATTTGAGAGAGAGAATGAGATAGAGCATGAGAGGGGGAAGGGTCAGAGGGAGAAGCAGACTCCCTGCTCAGCAGGGAGCGCGATGCGGGACTCGATCCCGAGACTCCAGGATCATGACCTGAGCCGAAGGCAGTCGCTTAAACAACTGAGCCACCCAGGCGCCCCGGTCAAGAAGCCTTATAACTACCACTTGTGTGAGTTTTCCAACAGTAGCATACGTCAAAATCACCTGGAGGGCTGTTCAAACACAGATTACTGGACCTAATCCCCAGAACTCCTGATTCAGTCTGTCTGGAATGCTGCTGAGAATTTGTATTTCTTTTTTTTTTTTATGTTATGTTGATCACCATACATTACATCATTAGTTTTTGATGTAGTGTTCCATGATTCACTGTTTGCGTATAACACCCAGTGCTCCATGCAGAATGTGCCCTCCTTAATACCCACCACCCCACCCCCTCCCCAGAATTTGTATTTCTAATGAGTTTTCAGGTGATGTTGCTGCTGCTCGTCAGGGTCTACACTTGGAGAACCAGTGGTATATGAGAACCCTATCTGCAAAATATTTGTGTTAGCGGATTAAAGCATTCTTTTCTAGTTTAGCTAATGTATTTGGAACAAACAAGCATAACCATCAGAATAATCAATTGCAACTAACATCCAATTTTGATTCCTGGCATAATTGTGCCCACCCCTACCCTGTCCTCTATGTGGTTTATAACCTTCCTTTGAAAAAAAATTTTTATTGAAATAAATTTCACATAGCATAAAATTCACCATTTTAATCATTTTAAAGTACACAGTTCAGTGGCTTTTAGTGTTTTCACAGAATTGTGCAACCATCACCACCATCTAATTTCAGAACATTGCATCACTCCAGAAAGAAACCCCATACACATGAAGCCGTCTCCGCACATTTCGCCCTCCCCTGAGACCCTGGCAACCACAAAGCTACTTTCTATTTCTAGGGATTTGCCTCTTCTGGACATTTTATATAAATGGAATCATACAACATGTGGTCTTTTGTGACTGACTTCTTTCACTTAGCACATGTTCTCTGAGGTTGATCCGTATTGTTACATAATGTCAGTGTTTCCTCCCTTTTTATGGATGAATAATATTTCTTCTGTTGTATACCTATACGACATTTTGTTTATCCATTCATCAGTTGATGGCCATTTGGGTTGTTTCTACTTTTTGGTTATTATGAATAATGCTGCTGTGAATTCAAGTTTTTGTGTGAACACATGTTTTTATTCTCTTGGTTATATACTTAGGAGTGGCTAATGTTTCTTTTATCTTTATTTTAACTCTCCCACTAGAGATGTATTTTTTATCATAAGCTATATAAATCCTTTTTGAAGGTAGGTGAGAAGATGCATTCATTCATTCATTCATTCATTCATTCATTCTTTTGAATCAACCAGTAAATGGTTGGGGACTTATTCTATGCCAGGAATGGGCGCTCCCCATACATCATCTCATGGACTTACCACAACAACCAATAATGTCATCAACCTTATTTTATATGTGAAGAACCGGAGAACCAGAAAAGCTTAGTAATGGCCCCAAGCCACACAACTAGTAACTTTGAGACCGAATGTTGAACCTAGTTTTTCAGCCCATTGCTCTTTCCTTAACTCTATGCTGCCTCTATGAGGAGAAAAAAATAGGAAAACAGACCAATAAACCATTGTGGAGAATAAATGACTTTTGGGAAATGTTCTACTCGACAGCAAATCCTATCCGTGACTGTTAGTGTTAAAGCCGTTCCTGATCGTAACCCGGAAATGCCTTTTCTCTTTGTGATCATTGCCTCGATCATCTTTTGTACTGTATGTTGAAATCCAGTTTACTCGTGAGACTTTAACTCTTGATTGCCTCTAATGCTTATTATACAGTGCATTTCATTTAAATGTTCTTGTCATGAATTCGTATGGACTTCGGTAAGATAGCATAGTTAATGTTTACACAAAATGGAAGAAGCCATACCCTCTGGAATTTTAGATTTGGAAATAGGGCTCTATTTCAAATTGGAAGGATTTTAGTAGTCATAGAATCCAATACTTTTGTTTAATAAATGAGAGCAATAAGGCCAGAGAGATTGTGATATACCCAAGATTCATTAAAACATAAATATGCATTGAGCAACTTCTAGGTGCCAGGCCCTATTCTACACACTGTGGACACAACAGTGTGCAAAATGGCAAAGATCCTGCCCTGCAGATAGCGATGGTTTAGTTGGGAAGGCAGGCAATATACAAGATTACAAATAAATACATTATCACTTCAAAGACAAACACTGTGAAGAAAACACAGCAGGTTAATGCAATGGTCAATGATTTGGTGGTGTTATTTTGGTACAGAGTGGCCATGGTCTCTGAGGAAGTGATCTTTGAACTGAGACCTTTTGACAAAAGGAACCAGTCATGTGAGGATCTGGGGGACGAATGTTCCAAACACAGAGAACAGAGATTATAAAAGCTCTGAAGTGGAAAGGGGCTCATAGTGGTACAGAAAGTAGGCCAATGTGGCTAGAGCCAGTGGGGTCTCCAAAGTGGGGTGCCCCACCCTGGGGGGCACCAAGGACTGAAGTACTGAACCACAGGTGTTAGAAGAAACTATTAGCATTTCTTTTTCATTTCTTTCTATTGTATATTTTGTAATTTCTATGATTTTGTATGTTTTCTGTTATATATAACAGAAATTATATATAATTATATATAATACAGTGGTATATGTGTATAATTTACACATGTGTAATTATATACATGTGTATATGTGTATAATTTATAATGAGAATATATATTCAAAAAATTTTTACTGTATATTTTTGTAGACCACTGGGTCTGTGGGCAAAGAGGAGAAGGAAAGCAAATGGAAGGTCAAGCTAGGAGTTTGGTTTGTTCTCAGTGCCATGGGAAAGCATTTGAGCATTTTGAGCAGGGAGTGCAGGGTCTGAGCATTCTGACAGTGGTGTGAAGGAGAGATGGAAAGGCAGCAAGTCTGGAAGCAGGGAGACCAGCGAAGGAGCAATGGCAGAAATCAGGTGGGCAATCATGGTGGCCTGGACTAGCATGTTAGCAGTGGGTGGAAGGAAGGTGGCTGGATTCAGGATGCATTTTGGAGGTAAGAATCCTAGGACTTGCTTATGGGCTGGATGTGGGAGGAGGTGGTACATCAAAAAAAAAAAGGAATGAATGAAAAAGAACTCTTCCAGGTTTCGGCTTACAGCTGGGTGGTCCATGGTGCCATTTACTGACTTGATGAAGATGGGAGAAGGTAGCAGTTTAGAGGTGAAGAGCAGCAATCACAAGGTCTGTTATGAAATGATAAGTTAGAGATACCTGTTAAACATCTAAGCAGAGACAATGAGCAGGCCTTTTAGGATACTGCAGCCTGAAACTAGGGGTAAGTGTTATACCAGCTGAGGTCTCCTGACCCTACAGTGTAGGTTCTTCCCATTGATCCAGTTGCTCCCAGAATGATTGAATTTTTTAAGTAAATAAATAATTAACAAATCATAAATAATCTAGAATGCAAATATTAAGAGTATATAAAATTTAAATATTTTAAACTCCTTGGGATTGAGTTGGAAAACTGGGTTAAAGTTGGAAACTTTACTGAAAAGATTTTAGGATCGCGGATTTACTTAATTGCAGTCCTGCCGAGTGACTGCCATGTGCTCTCCTGCCTGGAAGAACCCCAGTATTGCCCACCGTCTCTGTTTTCTACAAGGCCCTTGTTCAGTGGTTTTATTTCCCTCCTCCCAGAGAGGGTCATGCTCTGCAAAGAGAAATGGTGCCATCAAGATGCTTTCTGAAAATTAGGTGAGTCCTATACAAAAAAAGATTGCTTTAGTCTCAGTTGGTCCAAGTTATCCTTGAGTCTTTCCACACCTTCTGAAGTTACAGAACACTGGCCAGGTTGCCAGAGGCTACACAGAGCCCAACCTGGACCTCCTCTTCTTTTACTTAGATCAAGGTTTCTCAGTTTGGCACTACGGACGTTTTGTGCCGGATAGTTCTTTCTGGTTTTTTTGTTTGTGTGTGTGGTTGGGTTTTTTCCCCTTTTTCCTTTTCCACGCTGGACAGCCCCCTTCAGCGCTCACAGCCCACCAGGGAGGAGGTTGGGCGATGGTTCGGGACTGCCCACTCCTCTGGCATGGGTCCACTATGAGAGGCCCACAGAGAAGGGCCCGCCATTAGCGTATCCCCATGTGCTAGTGCCGGAGAGTTCTTGTTGTGGGTGCATTCGCGTGCTGTGCATTGTAGGATGGTTAGCAGCAACCTTGGCCTCTAGATGCCAGCAGTACTCCCACACGTGCTTATGGTAACCAGAAATGTCCTCAGACACTGCTAGGTGTCCCTGGGGAAGGGGGGAGGGTGGGGGCTGCAAAAGTGCCCCAAGTTGAGAACCAATGACTTGGAGAAAAGAGATGCCCTTGGACACCATTGATCTATCATCGTCACTTCCATTTCTTTAAACAAAAAATAAAAACAAAAACAAAAAACAAAATAAAACCCAAAACCATAGAAAGAAAAGATTAGCTTGCATACACTTAACACCACTGAGTAGTGAGTAAAAAGCCAGCTAGCTATCTTTTAGGGAATAGTGGAGGCCATAAAATGTCTTTTCACTGCAGGGATATAAACCTTAGTGATCTAGGGAAAGTATAGGCTCCCACGTTAAATCGTCTTGGAGTGTGTGTTCTGTGGCAGCAGAGAGCAGGAACGGTCTCCTGCCTTGTTCTGGCCGAGTGAGGCCACGTCTGTGGCTGGACGTACATACATTCCAACCTGGCCAAAGTACTAGGCAGTAAATGCTCAGTAAATGTCCTAGGAAGGAAGAAGGAAAGGAGGAAGAAGGGAGGGGGGGGGGGGGAGAGAGGGAGGGCCCCTCTCTGAAAAGTACAAGAAGTACAGGTTACCTCCTGAAGCCCTACATGCTTGCTGGCTGTCTGGCCATGAGGTGGTCAGTTTCCTATGTTCGGCCTCTGCCCCCAACCCCCAAATCCCCCAGAAGCCTCCTGTCAGGGGGTCAGGAATGGAGGCGCTGTGGATGAGGAATCTGGCTACACCCGATGCACAGGCCTCCTTCCATGACTGAGCTCTTTTCTTTTTTGTATAGAAAACCCGCCCATCACCAAGAGCCTGACCTTGCCAGCCCTCTCCTTGCCCATGAAGCTGGTAAGCCTAGAGGAAGCTCAGGCCCGGAGCCTGGCTACTAACCATCCTGCTCGGAAGGAAAGGAGGGAGAATAGCTTGCCTGAAATTGTCCCTCCCATGGGCACCCTCTTCCACACTGTTCTTGAGTTACCAGACAACAAGTAAGCAGCGTTCTCTTAAATTCTGGGGAACATTTGGGTGGAGGGGGACAGAGGAAGTAGTTATGCAGTCTCAGGGTCACAATGACAGCATGGGTTGGGGGTACTGGCTGGGTCGGGATGTGAGGGAACATTCCAGAAGAGAAGGGAGCTGTCTCCACAGCTCTCTCTCACTGGCGATTGATGTCTTCCCTCCCTGCCGCCAAGTTATCAAGACCAGCTCTCCCACCAGAGATCCCTAAGTACCATGATGGGGGTGGGGCTCATAGGGGTCAAGAGTCATGGCTAAAATCCTTTACTCCTTAGTTTAGACAAAACAGTCTTGACATTTTCAGAAGGAAGTTTGCTGCAATCAACAACTTGACCCCCTCCCACCAGCCTCCGCCTCCAGGTGACATTATAAAAGTCATAGAGACGAGTGGAAGATAAGCTAACAAGAAGTGCCACTCTAGACCAAGAGCTCTGGGCAGGCGGCTTGGGGACACACTTGCCTGGCTTCCGTTCCTCCTTCCATGCCTGTCAGGGCCCTCCTTCGCCTCCAAAACCAAACCGAACATCAGTTTTATTCATAGGATATTTTCTTTCTTCGTTGCTTTCTCTGTTGGAACCCTGGTCTCCACTCAGCCCCCTTTCCTTCTCAGCTTCACAGCCCACTCTAAAAAGTCAACAGTGATTGAGAGGAGTCCCAAACTCCAGGCAGACAGTAGGTGGTGGGGCTGGAAGGCAAACTTTTCACGGGAGACTGTCATCCTCAATGTTTGGTCAATAGAAAGAGGTATGAAAAGAGGCACCTCGGTCTTCTTGTCAGCATGATCCCCAAGATGGTGGGGCTATTTCCCTTTGGGGAGGGAGGAGGAGTGCTGCCACATTACACACCAGTAGGGGTGTCTGTCACAGTGCATATATATGCATTATGGGAATGGCACACGTAGACCTCACCTGGCAAGAAACCCCTCCGTTTCCTGAAGTACATGGATCATGCTCTCTCTAGACTGAGCCCCATTACTTCACTCCCTAAATCCCTGGAGAATAAGACTTCCACCCAGGGATCAGAAAGAAGAGTACCCCAGGAGGACCATCAAGTGCATTTTCTCTGTGCCTTAGCCACACTTGGGGTGCACCATACCCCAACGTACGCAAGCCTATAAAATACATCCAAGGCCAAGTGCTTGGAAAAAAACTGGGCCAGATTCAAAAGAAACCACCAAGCGTTGCAGATCTATCTCTGATTGATTGTAAAAACATGTTGGGCTTGAGATCTGGGTGGTCTATGAGAACCCTGTGGAGAAAAGGTCCTTCGTGGAACCCACAAGTTGGAGGGTTTCATCGTGGAACTTTATGAAGTCTGATAGCTGGGCGAGCCCGAGTGGGGCAAGGTTTCTGGTGACCTCTGGTGGCCTCAGGCCCTCCGGACCCAGTCTAGCACTCTCCTTTTCTTGCCTCCTACTGAGGCAGCCTGGCGAGAGGCGTAGGGAAATGGGAGTGAAGCCAGAGACACACTAATTACCCTCTTCCTTTCTCTGCAGTGATCTTTGGCCACACCCAGCAGCCTCTGACTCTCCCAGGCCAAACTCTTTTCCATTCTCATCCACCCCTTTTTCAGTCCACAGAAGTCTTCGCCAGCCCTTTCCTCACCTGTGGATGACCCAGCAGGATGGCCAAAGTGCAGGGGGCATATCGGCACTGAGTTCTTTGGTCTTTAGTGTTTACTCCTGCAAAAAAATAGGTGTCTTTGAAAACCCAGGACTCTGGTGCTTACCAGAATTCCTAGAACTGTGTGCTTGCTTGTGACCTCCGGGTCTCCCACCCATCTTGCTTCTGTCTGCCCTCACACCTGCCCTTAATAGCACACCTTTGCCCCTTCCCCTGAGGAATGTGAAAGCCTAGCTTGTCGTCCAGGGCATCCCCAGATAGGGCCAGACTCAGGCTCAAACTGAATTTTAGAGAGGAATTTCCTGAAATGTCAGAGCCATTCATAACCAAGAACATGACTGGGGTATTCCTTCTCAATGTAAAGGTCCCACTGAAATGACCAGTCACCAAACTAACCCTTTATTATGGCTTGGCTCTTTTAGAAGAAAGCTCTCCAGTAAATCGAAGAAGTGGAAATCAATATTTAACCTGGGACGTTCTGGATCAGACTCCAAATCAAAGCTGAGTAGAAACGGGAGTGTATTTGTGAGAGGACAGAGGCTCTCAGGTAAGAATTACTAGCAGTTATGTTTTATGAGATGTATATTGTATTAGAAAAACTCCGTTCAATCCACCTCCTGGTCATTTTCTGTTTCCATCATTCCTTCTACATTGATTAATTGAACTATACTATAAGGAAGATCTGTCCCTTCTCCCTCATGACTCATGCCAGGGTTATAATTTTTAAATAGGAGTGTTGCATTGTGGGAATGATATCTGAATAATTAATGGGAATTAGAGCAGGAAGGAACTGAGGTAATCACGGTACAATGGGGAATATAACCAATTCAGCTGAATACTGTCATAAAGGGAAGTCCAGAGAAATCTGCCACAGTGACCTTTAGTGTGATAGACTGAAACTCTTGATTTTTTTTTTTAAATGGGGGGCAAGCATTATGAAAACAAGCTGTAAAAGGTAAATGTACAAATGCAATGAGCAAACTTTGGATCCTTTGAAAAAAGGGGCTACAAATGATAATTTTGGGGACAGGTAAGTTATTAGATGATATTAAGGAATTGTAAATTTTCATAGGGTGCTAATGGTTCTTAGGAGGTCTATGCTAAGGTTGAAGTATTTATTTATTATTTTTAATATTTATTTATTTGAGAGAGAGCACGAGCGGGGTGAGGGGCAGAGGGAGAAGCAGGCTCCCTGCTGAGCGAGGAGCCCAATGTGGGGCTCAACCCCAGGACCCCGGGATCATGACCCAAGCTGAAGTCAGATGCTTAACCAACTAAGCCACCCGGCACCCCAAGGTTGAAGTATGTAAAGATGAAGGGTCAAAATACTGAAACTCACTTTCATATGATTTAGCAAAATTAAGTACATAGGTAGATACAGATACAGAAATAGAGAAAGCAAATATATGGCAAATGTCAGCCTGGGTGGTAGGGTTAGAGATCTTCAAATTTTGTGAATGGTTGAAGTTTGTTTTTTTTTTTTAAGATTTTACTTGAGAGAGAGAGAGGGAGCGCACACACGAGTGGGATGGGGGGAGGGAGAGGATCTCAAGCAGATGCAGGGAACCATCCCATGACCTGGAGATCATGACCTGAGCAGAAACCAAGAGTCCAACTCTTAACCGACTACACCACCCAGGTGCCCCTGAAGTTTTTAGTAATAAAGATTTTGGGGGAAAATGAATGCTTATAGGAAAAATGAGAGAAAATATTTTGAAGGACTTTCCTTGAAGCCAGTGATAACTGTGTGCCAAAGACAGACAGACATTAGAAACCTTCACATTTGCCTCCTGGAGTAATGAGGCATGTTATGGGTTATAGCAGGTCCAGCGACTGGAAGCAAGAGGACATCCAGTTCAACTGGCTTATGCAGCGAGGGAACTTACTGGGCTCTGTAACTGGACACCCAGACGTAGGGGAGGCTGCAGGGTTTAACACAGTGGCTCTGTCTCCAGTCCCCCATTTTCCTCAGCTGTTGGGTCATCTTCACCCCCAGTCTGGCTTCTTTGCCGCAGCAAAGTGGCTATAGTACTTCTAGGCTTTACCTTTGACTGTCACTACATCCAGAAGGAGAAAGAACATCATTTCTGGTAGCTTGCTCCTCAGAGCAGGGACTCTTCTTTCCCAGCAGCCACCCATCAGAAACACCCCCCAACCCACCCCCATCTCAGTTGCCTTCACTGAGTCATATGGATCAATCCCTATGGCCAAGGCAGTGCCCTGTGCTGACCGGCTTCGACCTGGCTTCCTAAACCAATCACTGGCATGAGGAATGGGATGCAGCCAAGAAGTACGAGGGTTCTGTGAGAAGGAGGAAGGGAACTGATCCTGGGTAGGCAGCTACAACCTTCACCGTATGAGGAAACATGGCTTTCACCAACTGGAAGTATCTCTGGTGAAAAGGGCAGGTTGCCACAGGTATGCTAGATCAGATACAAATCAGAAATTAGGATTCTCAAAGGAGAATTTGAGGGGAGGAGTACCTGGCAAGAAACTCCTGATCTAATAGTAAAGAGATTTGCTTAAGCACATCGAAGAGCGTTTCAGTTACAGAATCGGTGATACAATGAAAGAAGTTTACCACATAACAAAAAGTCCAAAACAATAGAGCAAAACAATGAATAAATGATCTGCTTTGATCCTGCCTTAGGAAGATTTCCAACACCCCCCACCGCCACCCCCGCCGTGTGGTTTTCAAAAGGAAGAAGTCCAAGGTGCTGGATCAAATGCTAGTCTACTCACAGAATGCACAGGATGTCCCTGGCCAGGGGGTCTCAGCCTGGCTGCACCTCAGAGACTCACACGCATAGCACTTTTGCCTCAGGAGGTCTGTGGGGAAGCCAGAGTCTTGGTGATTTTTAGAAAGTTCCCCAGGTGATTCTGAAATGCAGCCAGCGTTGGAAGCCACTGGTCTAAGGCCTCGTGAACAAACTAATCAGAGACGGATCACTGGAATGGCTGAATTTTGATGGGCTGCGGGGGTGAAATGAAAGAGCCATCAGTGTCAGTGCAAGTGGCTCTCTGGCCTTGACCGGGGGTCCTAAGTGCCCACTTTGCACCAGAGGAGTGTTGCGGGGACCCTCAAAACTAAAGACCAGGGGTGGGGCCCGCTTGTGGTCACATCCGCCAGCATGCTGTCTGTAAGTGACACGAACTCACTATTTGTGGAAATAATGCATGTGAAAAAAGTGAGTCAGTGGATTAGCATATTTAAATAATTTTTAAAATCTTTTCTAAACTCCATAACTAAGGGAATTTTAAAAATTGATTCACCATGTATAGCTCTGGGGATTTTTTTGGAGGGGGGCAGATGAAGGGGTTGTACTGGAATTGATGCATTATCCCGCAGGGAGAGTCCAGGGAACTCTCCAAAGTAAACGCCTTTCAGCAGGGAAGTCCCAAAGCCATAGGGATAATCTAAGAGAGGGGACTTGAGGACCCCAAAGCTGCTGGAAAACTGGGAGATGTACCTCCACGAGGCCAGGACAAGGTCCCAGACAGAAAACTATGAGCTAAATATAGTCCTGGGCCAAGGAGCCCTGAGTGCTCAGTTACTTAGATGGAGCCAGGGAATCCTTGGGGACTGTTCCCAAAAGCAGCTGCTATGGCCACCAAGGCCACAAGAAGCCGCATCGTCAGAAAGAGGGTCCAACGTGAAACGTGAACACTGGTGGCCGTGCAGAGAGAACTGTCGCCCATCCTTTATCATGACACTTAGTGTCATCAGGTCACGGCCCTCAAGGCTGACACATGAGACCCAGAGAAAGTCCAGAAATACAGCCTCTGGAACACAAGGGCTCCCACTCAGCTCCCAGACTGCCCTCATTCCCCTCCTGGCAAGCTCGCTAGGAGGAACCATCTTTCAGCCAGTTCAGCTCCCTGAGAAGAAGCGATATTTTGAAGTGCCTAATCCCGTGCCTGGAATAAGTGTTTACTTATTTAAGCCACACTCTTCCCCAAAGCTGCCTCGGTGGCTTATCAAGGTGCACAGAGGACACCAGGCGCATAGTAGGTGCTCAAAAAAGGTTGGTTTGGTTTGGATCTGCTCCAGGGTGAGGCCATTTGGAGGAGGAACCAGCCCACAGACCTCAGGAGCAGAGCTGCACGTGGGAGAAAGGGGCCTTCTGTCCCTGGGGCCCCCTCCCTTGCTGTGCCAAATTCCTGGATGCTGTCAGTTGGCGGCTGCAGCCACGAATCCTGCTCTCCAGCCTGCAAGATAGGGGGGATTGCCTTGAGCCTCATGGACCCTACCGCCTGGATGAATCTTTGTATCATAAAATTTGGTTCAGGACTCCTCATTTGCTAACAGCTATTTGACAAAATTGGAATTTACCTTTATCTGTAAAATATTCATGAAACTTTGATCTAGAAATGCCCTGTTTTTATAAGCTCAGTCCCATTATGAAAGTAGGAGGATCCAGGGTGGAATGGAGGAATGTTTTCCAAAGGGGAAAATTATAAATACTTGAAACACTTTACTAAAGAACGTTCTCTTGTGTCCTTACAGCCTGATTTTTGTTCTGAATGCTTCCTCTCAATATGCATTCATCAGGGATATTTTTTCTTTTGTCTTTAGTGGAAAAGGCTACTATCCGACCGGCTAAAAGCATGGACTCACTGTGCTCAGTGCCTGTGGAAGGTGAGCTCTCACAGCCGCTTTCAGACCTGGGGATTACCACTGGGAGACAGGAGCTCCTGTACCAGACCTGCCTTCACAAGCTACCTGCCTTCTGGGCTCGTCACAGTCCCCCCGGACCCTTCCTGAACCCAACGGGTTCACACCGCCCTTGCATTAACCACCTCCCCCCCCCCCCCCCCCGCCCCACATGACACCACAAGTCTTGGCCTCAAGGGCCATCCTCCTCCTCCCGCCTCCCTCTAACCACACCTGGAACCGGCAGCCATTGTTCATGCAAATCTGAACCGGGTAAAAGGGCAACACCTGAGAACCAAGGCAGACGAGGCCTCCCCATTGGGCATAAAGAAGAGCCCAGCACTGGTTTTTACCTCCTCCTTCGGTGCCTAGATTCGTATGTGTCTTGAATTTGCATGGTTCTTCACATCGATGGGCACTGGGCAGCTTCTCTGCCTCTCCCAGTCTCGGTTTCCTCGCATGTTAAAGGAGGTCATTACACTTCTCCTCCATAAGCAGCCATGGGAATTTTAAACCTAATGTTAACAGAAGATGCCCAGCAGAGCCCTTAGTACCTCGTGGGGAGTTTTTCTCCCGATCCCAGGCGACTCACGTGTTATCTCGCAGCTTGTTTATTTCCCATCGGGATTCTTCTCCTCTTTGCTTTCACTTTTAAGTCCGTTGGGAACTTTGCTCCTCACAACTGGGCTTTCTAACTTGTAGTTAATTTACATTTCTAGTTTCTCACCCCCTGAATCAGCAGCAGGAAGCCTGGGAAAAGGGAGAAAGGTCTAGCTGAGAACAGCATTTGTCTCCTTGCTGGGAAATCAAACCCCTGTTTGGGTCCATCTGCCAGAGGAGGCTTGAAACAACACATTTTAAAGTTTTAAAGTAAAACAAAATTCTGTTATTTTGCCCTTTTTGTCTTCTTCATTTTGAGCAAACATCATTCTGCCATCTGGCATCTTTTTATTTTTTCTTGATCTACATTTACTGCTGGGTGGATGACTGCTCTGCCTAGCACCCTTAGCCTTTTGGAAACTGCTCCCCCTGCAGAGTTTAAAACAAATGCATGCATACGACGGCATCCTGCCAACATTCTGTGGACATGAGAATGTTCCTACTGTCTCGCCAACCAAATGTTATCTGTCTCTCTTCGGAGGGCTATGCCCTTATGACAATGCTATGCCTTTCCAGTGCTCAGGTGTTGGGCACCGTCCCTCACTGGAAGGCTGTGTCACGGTGGGTGCGCCCAGGCTGCTGACCGTGTGTGTGTTTGCTTTTTCACTAGGGAAAGAAACCAAAGGGAATTTCAATCGAACGGTCACGACCGGTGGATTCTTCATCCCAGCGGCAAAATTGCATTCGACCAACACTGGCAGCTCATGTGACCTCAGCAAGCAGGAGGGCGAATGGGGCCAGGAGGGGATGCCGGCGGGGGCGGAGGGGGGCTTTGACACGAGCAGTGACCGAAGCCAACTTCAGGGCGCCCAGGCCCGGCCCCCACCTGAGCAGCTGAAGGTGTTCCGGCCGCTCGAGGATCCGGAGAGCGAGCAGACAGCCCCGAAGATGCTGGGTATGTTCTACACTTCGAACGACAGCCCCAGCAAATCTGTCTTTACCAGCAGTCTCTTCCAGATGGAGCCCTCTCCCCGCCACCAGCGCAAGGCCCTGAACATCTCCGAGCCCTTCGCCGTGTCGGTTCCACTGCGCGTGTCAGCGGTCATCAGCACCAACAGCACCCCGTGCAGAACACCCCCGAAGGAGCTCCAGTCGCTTTCCAGTCTGGAGGAGTTTTCTTTCCAGGGGTCAGAGAGTGGAGGTTGGCCTGAAGACGACAAGCCGCTGGGAGCTGAGACCTCTACAGGTAAAGCAGGGGAGGGAGGGTTTCTTTCCATTGCAAGTGATTAAAAAACAGACGTAAACTTGTTTAAACAGAGTTTGCAGGACAGTGCAGTGAAGTGGTTAACACTGTGGGCCCTGGAGCCAGATTGCCCCAGTCTAGTCTCAGCCATTTCACTGCCCAATCTTTAGCAGCTGTGTGCCTCAGCTGCTTGAGCTGTAAAATGGGAATGATGTTCCTAATCATATCTTCTTCATAAGTTTGCTGGGAATATTAAGTTAGTTAATACACGTGAAGCTAACGGAACAGTGAGTAATACATAGTAAGTACTCAGTAAATGTTGCCTATTCTTTTATTCACTCATATAGTGAGAAGACAGGAGGAAAAGCTCAAAGAATTCAACGCTTCTAGACTCAACCTCTCTCCATCCATCCCTCCCTCCCTTCTACCTCACATCTGCAGAGAACATGGCTAGCAACCCTAGCAATGAGAAAGGGTGTCTTGCTCCCAATTTCCATATATCAAATGCAGGGAAGACTCTGATTGGGCCTCCTTGGGTCACATGCCCAGCCTTGGACCAATCATGGTTGCCAGGCACTTAGGGTTCTAAGATTGGCTAAGCCGAGTCTCTGAACCATCTCTGGAGTTAGAAGGGCTTCTATGGTCAACAGCCAACTGTGAGCCACATGAAACAGAAGTAGGGAGAACCTCAAAGGGAAGGATGACTGACAGACACACCAACAAATGCTCAGTGTGGTTTAAGCATATTTTCATTATTAATATTAGCTAACTTTTTTTTGAACAACTGTTATGGTATCAGGCACTGTCCTAAGTGTTCTATATGTATTATCTCCATTCTCCTCGCAACAGCCCTGTGAGGTGCAGGTAGTTATTATTATCCCCATTTGCTTAGAGAGGAAATCGGTTCACTTGCCAGATGACTCAGAGCAAGGAAGTGGAAGAACCAGGATTTTATTTTATTTTATTTTTTTAAAGATTTTATTTATTTATTTGACAGAGAGAGACACAGCGAGAGAGGGAACACAAGCAGGGGAAGTGGGAGAGGGAGAAGCAAGCAGGCTTCCCGCCAAGCAGGGAGCCCAATGAGGGGCTTGATCCCAGGACCCTGGGATCATGACCTGAGCCGAAGGCAGACACTTAATGACTGAGCCACCCAGGCGCCCCAGAACCAGGATTTTAATCCAGATTTTAAAACCCCTGCTTTAAAACACTCCACCATGCACCTTCACATGTTTACAAGGGGCTGTGGAGTTACAGAGATTGTTAGAACATGATCCTTGCGCCCAGCGAGCTCATGAACTAGGAAGAGAAACTAAAACCATACCAAAGTGCAGCAGAGGGTCAGCCTGCAGAAGTAGCATAAGACTCTCCTTGGGCTTTTTTTTTTTAAAAGAGATTTGATTTTTAATTTATTTTTAGAGAAAACAAGAGAGCACGAAGGGGAGGGGCAGAGGGAGAAGGAGCGAGAATCTCAAGCAGACTCCGAGCTCAGCATGGAGCCTGACGTGGGGCTCGATCTCACGACCCTGAGATCATGGTATGAGTCGGTCACTTAACCGACTGCATGACCCACGCGCCCCTCCTCCCTGGGCTTTTTGAATGAGGGAGGTCTTCGGTCCCTGAAACATAATGAAAGAGGTGTTCAGAAAGGATTGCAAGGGCATCAACAAGAGGCAGTACTCTCGGGAGGATTCTAGGAAGGCTTCCCAGAAGAGGTGACATTTGTGCAGGCCTTCATAAATGGGTAGGCTTTCTCCATACAGAAAAGATGGGGAAGCCATTCTGGGCTGAGAGGCAGCTGAATATTGTGGGAAGACTGTAGGTTTTGGACTTCACCTGGGCTGATTCGAATCCTAACTTCAGCACTTTGGGGCTGTGTGACGGTGGACAGTGGTTGACGTCTCTGAGCCGGGGGGGTGGGGGGGAGTTGGTGGGAATGTCCTTAAGATGCCTGTTCATGGTCTGGCTCACAGACGATGTTCAATAAGTATTTGTCCTTTTCTCCTCCCTTTCCCTTCAGGATAGGGGGCAGAAGACAAGCAAAAACTCAGGGGCGTCAAGTGATGCCTTGTGTGGAGAATGCTCTGTGGGGGGTTGGTGGGATGAAGCAGGGTGAGGGCTGGAAGAGGAAGGGAAGCCTTTGAGGAAAAAGTGTTTCCAGAGGCTTTTGTGTGATCAGTTCCTGTCCTAGGTATTTAGTCTTCACTCTACCCTGTGAAAACAGTGTTATACAATGAGGTAGGACCTTCTGCATGGAGGTAGTAGAGGTCAAACTTGGGGTCTCTGATGCCTTGGTGGATGTTTAAGACCAGAGCTTAATCACTTGAGATATATCCGAATTGGTATGGAGTTAACCTGGGGGAAGAGTCACACAGGAAGCTGTCAATCATAATCCTAACACATCTTTGTAGCTTGGTGTAAATCACAGATTCTGTGAAGTAAAAGATTAGAAAAGGGTTTTTCAACTTGGTACTATTGACATTGTGGGCCAGGCAATTCTTTACTGGGGGCAGGGGCTATTTTATGCTTCGTAGGATATTTAGTAGCATCCCTGGCTTCTGCCTCACTAAAGGCCAATCGCCACCTTGTCCCCACCCGAATGTCTCCTGGGGAGGGGAAGAGCAAGTGGTCCCCAGTTGTGAGCCCCTGGACGAGAGGATCTTCAAGACCCCTCCATCTCTGACAGTCTGTGACTCTGGGAACTAAAGGCAGGACACGGCTGGAGGAAAGGGTCGAAAATGTGAGGGGCAGTGAGCTGGGAGAATTCCCTCCACCCTTGTGAAGCGGGACTAGTCCAGGACAGTGGCTGTGCAGGGCAAGGCCTCTCTGCAAATGACGTCTTCAATGGCTAACTCTCATCCATTGCAGCTTCCATACCTAAGAAGGTGGTTCTCGAGGATGCCAAGCCAGGACCAGAGGCAATTAGGATGGTGGAATGCAACAAAGACCTCTCCCTGGAGTCAGGCCCCCAACAGGAGGAAAAGAAGGCCTCGGAAACCTCCCTGGGCTCTCAACATTCAAGTGAATTAGAGAAGAGGCTGGACCCGGAGAAAGCAGAGGAGGAGGGTCGAGAGGCTGACCAGGTGGAGCCCAGCACTCTGCAGAAGAGCCCCAGTGTCCAAGCGGGGCTTCTCCATGACATGGTAAGATGGACTCACTGCTGGGTTCAGCCAGTAGAGTCCTCTTTGTCCCAAGGGCTCTTGGTATAGCTGAAAGCAGGGATTTGGCGGGGGGGTTGTTTGTTTGTTTTAAGAACTAATTTCTGCCAAAGGGACTTGAGGAGGCAACCTTCACAACCATGTGCTGGGAGTTAGGCAGCACGGGGGTGCTGTAGCAGCCTCAGGAGGGCTGTTAGCAACTGTAGAAAGAGAAGGATACAGAGATTCTTACGGGGATTGAATTGGGGGGGAGGCGGGGGGAGCCCAAGTATAAATAGTGCCACCCAGGCTCCCCTGGAATTTTGTGCTTTAAAGCTCACTATTTTGTGAGGAGAATGGCTTGGAAAAGGCAGGAGAGGAGACAGGGATACCAGTTAGAAGGCTAGTATATGACAGGCCAGGCAAGAAAACATGGTGGCTTGGAGGAGAGTGGGGGCAACAAGGATAGAAATGGAAGACTTCAAGACTATTTAGAAACTAGAATGGGGGCACCTGGGTGGCTCAGTCATGAAGCGACTGCCTTCGGCTCAGGTCATGGTCCCAGGGTCCTGGGATCGAGCCCCATGTCGGTCTCCCTGCTCGGCGGGAAGCCTGCTTCTCCCTCTCCCACTCCCCCTGCTTGTGTTCCCTCTCTCGCTGTGTCTCTCTCTGTCAAATAAATAAAAAAAATCTTAAAAAAAAAAGAAACTAGAATGGTGCTTGCTTCGGCAGCACATACACTAAAATTGGAACAATACAGAGAAGATTAGCATGGCCCTGTGCAAGGATGACACACGAATTCGTGAAGCATTCCATATTTTTGGGGGGATTCCTGGCTGGCTCAGCCAGTAGGGCATGTGACTCTCAATCTCAGCGTCGTGAGTTCAAGCCCCACATTGGGCATGGAGCCCAGTAAAATGAAATGAAATGAAATGAAATGAAATAAATAAAAAGCTGTGTCTGAAATAATATTTATCACACACACAAAAAAGCTAGAATGAACAATCCTTGGTGAAGGATTGGATAAGAGAGGAAGAAGGAAGAGTCAAGACATCTCATAGATTTCTGATCTAAGCAGAAAGTAATATGTAACTGTAATATGTAATAAGTAACTGGTCCACTTACTGAGATGGTGGGGGAGGGGAGTTTACGTGCTCATTTATTTATCTAAATTTATTGATTTCTTAGTAAGAGATCAATTAGTGTAGGTGCTGAGGAGAGTAAAGAGATGAGTAAAAGGCTGCCTCTGCCCTGAAGGTGAAATGGAAATAGACACAAATAAGTGTGATACAGTAGAATCAGATCTCAAAAACATCCCTGCCTTTTGACCAAGGAATCCTGCTCCTGGAGAGTTCTCTGAAGGAAACAATCAAATAGAAATACCACAAAAGAAAACCTCTCAGTTGAGCAACCACTCACAGTATACCAGGCACCATTTGGCCTTGAGGAATCAAAGATGAACAGACACAATTCCTTACCTCAAGGAGCTCATAGTCCATTGGGAAAAATAAGCATCAAATTAATTGTAATATGAAACATGTGATCAGAGCCAGGTGGGAAGTGATGTCAGGTTGGCGGCAGGTCAGGTTTCTCATAAAGGCCTAAACCCCCCACAGGATGGATATGCCTCCTGGAACTGCGGCTCCTTGGGACAGACAGGTCTTGAGCCAAGAAATGAAGGCCACTGAAATGTTTCCCTGGCCCTGACCGGGCCTCCTTTCATCGCTTTCCTGTCTGCAGTTTGGGGCTTTGTGTAGGGGAAGGAAGGAGTCAAAGAGAAACTAGACTTGAGGAGAGACAAGGGGCAGCAAACAAGATGGAGGAGGAGGCACCCCTTTAGATCAACAGCGGTTATCTGTGGGTAGTCGGAATATAAGATGTTGCTGTTTTTGTATTCTCCTTTCTTTTAACATGTGTTAAATATTTTTTTTCCATGGGAAATATGTATTTCTTTAGTAATAAGAAAAGCTGTATTTATTTATTTGGAAAGCAGATGTCAGGGCAAGAGTTAACACTTACATTCCACCGGGAGAATCTCATTCTTTTGCGCCATCTGGTAAACCTGAGGTTAACTGAGACCAGGGGTTGGCTCGTTTTATAAGTCAACAGTGCGCAGGGATTAAGTGTTTCTGTTCTGATGTGGACATAGCTGCATTTCAGTCCCAGGCTGCTGCTGTGTAATTTAGGTAAATTGTTTAATCTGTTTGAACATAGGTCTCCTCTCCTCTAAAATGGGAGTCATTAGAATAGTATTTATCTCTTAGATCTAAGTTGTTGGGACAGTTAAACAAGAGCATGCAGTCAGAATGTGCTGGGGCATGCAGTAAGCCCTGAATAAACATCCACAATTATGAGTAATGTGGTGGCCTTTATTTGCTGGGATAATGCAGCCTGTCCCGGCGCCAGTCCCTTCACTGTCACTGGGAAATGGTGCCGTTGTCAAGGCTGCGAGTCCTTGGCTCTAAAATAATCCATTTCTCGGTGTTTTTCAGGATGAAGATGATCTGGCCAATGCCCTGATCTGGCCCGAGATTCAACAGGAGCTGAAGATCATCGAATCTGAGGAGGAGCTCTCCTCATTGCCACCACCTGCTCTAAAGGTCAGCCCCACTCAGCCGATCCTGGAGTCCAGTCCAGGGCCTTTCGCTTCCCAGGAGCCTCCTGGGAGCTGGTCTTGCGGCCCAACACCAGGCTCCACCCCTGCGGAGGAGGGGACTACGGATCTAACCAATCAGAGTGCGGAGGGGACTTCCCCGGCAGCCAATAGGGAAAAGCTGGAGACAACAAGCATCCTCCAGAGACCGGAGCCCGAGAAGCGTCCGGACCCCACCAGCTTGGCTCCTCTGGAAATTGTTCCATTTGAGACGGCTTCCGCACAAGCAAAGGTGGACCAGGAAGGCCCAGGAAATCTGTCCCCTCTTCTCCCGCCTGCTGCCCCTCCTCCAACTCCCCTGGAGGAGGCACCTCGAGTCCAGCTATCAAAGGGCAGTCCTGAGAGAGAAGACTCATCTAGGAATTTGAGGACAAATCCATACACAGACCAGCTGAAGTCCAAGGGCAGCCCTGGGCCCCCCAGCCTGTGTCAGGAGGAGGAGGAGACCTCTCTAGGACAAAGTGAAGAGCAAAATTCAAAGAATGCTGCTCCTGAGGGAAAAGGCTCTGGTTTTCAAAGCCCAACAAGAGAGGTTGAGATCTCCCCCCAAGGAGAGGGGGATGTAGCCCATGCAGCGCAGGAGCCCTCAGACTGTGATGAAGACGAAACTGTGACAGACATTGCCCAGCAGGGCCTGGAGATGGTGGAGCCCTGGGAGGAGCCCCAGTGGGTAACGAGTCCCCTTCACTCTCCCACCCTGAAAGATGTGCAAGAGGCCCAGGTGCAGGGCCCCCAGGGCCACCGACTGGAGAAGAGGCTCCCCCACAGGCCCAGCCTTCGTCAGAGCCGTTCTCTAGATAGCAAAACCACCACGGTTGAGAGCCAGTGGACTCTTGAGGCTCCCTCCTCCAGCAGCTGTGCTAACCTTGGAGCAGAGAGGAATTCCGACCCTCTGCAGCCCCTGGCACCCAGGAAAGAGATTACTGGATGGGATGAGAAAACCCTGAGGTCCTTCAGAGAGTTCTCTGGCCCAGAAGGGACAGAGGCTGTTCCCAGCCAGAAGGGACCAGGTGGTTTGCAGCCCAGATCAGCAGAAATCAGCCCTGTCAGCCTAGCAGAGGGAAAGGAACTGGGGACACACCAAGGGCACAGCAGCCCTCAGATTGAGCAAGGTAGTGTTCCTGGGCCAGACAATAGCAAGGAGAGTTCACCTCGTGTGCAAGACAGCACCTCACGTGGAGAGCATCCCCCAAAGTTACAGCTGAAGAGCCCCGAGTGTGGGCCTCCAAAAGGGAAAAATAGGCCTTCTTCCCTCAATTTGGACTCTGCCAGTCCCATCACTGACCTCTTCCGGTTTGACAATGTGGCCTCATTTGGTTCACCTGGAATGCAGCTCAGAGAGCCAGGAGACACAAAAGTCACATGGATGACCTCATCCCACTGTAAAGGAGACCCGTGGAGCATTTGCTCCCAGGACCCTCAGGACCTGGACATTGTTGCTCATGCCCTGACAGGCCGCCGTAACTCAGCTCCTGTGAGTGTGTCAGCTGTGAGAACCTCCTTCATGGTCAAAATGTGCCAGGCTAGGGCAGTCCCAGTCATCCCACCCAAGATTCAATACACACAGATCCCACAGCCCCTGCCCTCTCAGAGCTCAGGGGACAGTGGAGTCCAGCCTCTGGAGAGGAGCCAAGAGGAACCCAGCTCAACTGGTGAGACCTCACAGAAATCTGCCAGAGATGATTCTCTCTCCTTGGAAAGCCCAAAAGAAGAGAAACCAAAGCAAGATACAGGAGCCATTGAGTCCTTGCCAATGGATACCACTACATCCCACATGTGTGAGGGACCCACCCTTCCTCCAGAACCAGTCTTGGCTAACCTGCTCTCCACCCAGGATGCAACAGTGCAATGCAGAAAGCGCACATCAGAGACAGAGCCGTCCGGAGACAACCTTCTTTCTTCAAAAATGGAGCGACCATCAGGGGGTTCTAAACCTTTCCACAGGTCAAGGCCAGGAAGACCTCAGAGCCTAATCTTATTCAGTCCTCCTTTCCCCATTATGGACCACCCGCCCCCTTCATCCACAGTGACAGATTCCAAGGTTCTCCTGTCCCCTATCAGAAGTCCCACCCAGACAGTTTCCCCTGGCCTTCTTTGTGGGGATTTGGCAGAAAACACGTGGGTCACACCAGAAGGGGTTACGCTTAGGAATAAAATGACCATCCCTAAGAATGGCCAAAGACTAGAGACCTCAACCAGCTGTTTTTACCAGCCCCAGCGCAGATCAGTGATTCTGGATGGAAGAAGTGGGAGGCAAATAGAATGACATCAGTTCACCTGCTGGTGTCAGGAAAAAAAAAATGTCATGATTCATCGTCTGGAAGTTATTACAGGGCTGACTTGCCATTATCCCAGGCATAGGTTATCCAAGTTTGGGCTTATTTTGGCCTCTTTTATTTCTTCAGCTTTTTGACCATTTATTAATTAGTCCATTTGCCAGAAGAGAGGTCAAGGGAAGGACCAATAGATGAAATTTAGATAAGTCCATAACAGCAGGTGGGAAAAAGGTAAGGGAAGAAGCTGAAATGCCTGCTTCCAATGAGATTTGGGGTTGTTTGTGAGTTGCATTTCTCCCACATTGTCATTATCTATTACTGTTGAGAGCTGGCTAAAATAACGTCTTTTGAAAGAAAGAGAAATCCTTTGCCTGTGCTGGAAAATGTTGCTGTTGAGGTTTGAAGGCCTCCTTTTCACTTCACGCTTTTTAATGCTCCTTAAAGCATGTGTTCTTTTAGACCAGATTTCTGATAAGTTTTGTAAATGTGTACACTCCAGAATAGAAGCAGATTTGGAAGTACAAACTAATGTACGCTTAAAGATCCAAGTGGGTGAAGTTACCCGTGCTCTTTCCCTGGAATCTCTCTGCAGACCTGTCAGAGATGGTTGTGTCTATCAGCATAGAAAATCAGAATCTATACGCAAGAGCAAATTCTGAGACTGGCAAAATCTAAGAAGACTGGCTGTTGCTTTTGTTAATTTGGGACTCTACTATTATCCTGACCTCTGATTTATAAATCCAGTGGCTGGGCAGAGTGGGGGCTGAGCCGAGGGTTACCTCAATGAAATGTGCTGCATTTTCACTTAGGTATGCAACAGTGAAGTGATCTGTTTTCTTTCCAAATCAGAGCCCATGAACAGGATATCTTTGTAGAGAAAAACCTCACGCATGGGTAGAACTACGCTCCAAAGTCAAAGTGTTTAAATTGATGGGGCATTAATAGAAAACACTTCTAGCTCAGCTTCCTTGTCCTTCCACACTAGGCTGGGAGTGCAGGAGAGGATAAGGAGGGAGCCCTAGCAGGGTGGCCATCTCTACCACTTGGGGAGAGCTGCCCTTTGGAAAATATTTCATTTTAGCCAGGTGGTGCCTCCCTTTCTCCCTCTCCTTCCATTACTCAGAGCAGATTTGAGGCATCTTTCTCCCTCCCATAATCCCCCTCATCTGTCACCCACCCCAGACACTCCGACTTGCCTTTCTTCTGTCTATATGCAAGCAGAAGCAATAAACCAATCTGATTTTATTTCAGTTATTTAGAACTTCCAATGGTTCTTTCTTTTTCAGCTGGTGAGAGGAAAAAGAACTAATAGAACCTGCTGGCAGATTTTTGGTCCTCCTCCAAAAAGGGGCTTCACAGGAGCCCTTCTCAAGGCAAAACTCATTAGGGTATCTACAGTTTCAAATCTTCTAAGACAACAATCTTATTTAAAAAACAAATTAAAATAGACCTGTTTCTAGCCCTGTGCACGTCATCTCAGGTTCAAGTCTGGCCGAACTCTGTCCACAAGCTCCGTCATTGCAGAAATTTCTCTAGGGGCTAGCAGTACCTCTCGGCAGACCTCACAACCAAGGCTGTTGCTGGAGTGGGTAGGGGCTGAACTGAAGTTACTTCGACCGGGGAGAAATTGGAAGCTGATGCCCTGCAACAGATCCATATTCCTCTCTCCCTTCTCCCCTGATAAACCTTACAGTTTTGAAATCTTGTGCTGGACATTTTAAGCCAGTGTCTGTGGCAGGGGTAACTGGTAGGCCAGCTGATGAGTTCTACTTTCAGAGGACATTGAGGTGAGTGAGCAAGGGGAGCGGTTAATAGGAAGTTCAGTGTCTTGCATTCTCACTAGGTGAGCGAGACCCTGGACCAATGGGATGTCAACCCATAAAAAAAGTCCTAGGGTATGGCATTTTTCCTCCTTGGCAAGCAAGGTGAAGAAATATAGTGGTGACAGATGAGAAAGGCCATGTTCAGGAGATTTGAAAAGTACATTCCTGCCTTATCAGAAAATGTGGGCAGATAGGCTTTATCCCAATCGCAGTGCACTGTGGTGTCTATGCTTTGATAAAGACCATGTTCCAGTTAGAATGTGAGAGAAGAAAAAACTGGACTTTGCTTCACCATCAGAACTCTGAGCCGAGTAATGAAATATTTAAACTATTTTATAATTATTTTGAATTTTTGTAACACTTAGAGGATAGATTTTATTTGGGGATAGACTGAGAAGCCACTTAGTACACATGAATGAGTTTGCTCAAGGCGCCTAGGCAGATTCTTAAATGGCTGCCACACTCCTTAGACTCTGACATCTTTTGTTTGTAGCATCGTCTTCAGGAGTGTGGGTGTGTGGATGCCGTCATGAGACACAATGACAACTGTCTGGAGATACTCTCTACTCTGAGCTTTCCTAAGCCAGTCAATCCGAAAGGCTGTGGAAGCTGACTCACCTTCTTGATCAGTGTCCCGTGGCTAAAGTGTGGACTTCTTCACTATAGGCCAGCCTGTCAACTGTCACAAACACATTCATAAGCTTCCTGTGGGCTAACCCAGCACTGAGGAAATTCCGTTTCATGACAAAGAGAACTCAGATTTCCCCCTGAAATTGTTCCCTCAAATGCCCCAAGATTACCTATTTGGTCATTCATTTGGGACTGAAAAATGACCCCCCTGAGAATGGCTGGATGGAAATCAAATTGCCCGCTTCCATCCAGAGGAGGGACAGGACAAGGGCTGGTGTTTTTAGGAGGATCTGCATGGTGCCCTAGAAAGGGCTGCAAAATCAAATTCTCAGGGTGCTCCTTCAAATCAGTTACCAGTCCTCAAAATGGGGATGGTCGATTTTAAACGTTAAATTTGAAATGAAATGCATGCATCTTCTAATGTTTTCTTTCAATGTTAGTGTTTGCTTAAGAAGATAATAATCTATATTTATTGGCAAAATGGCCCTCTCAGGCCAAATATTTTCTCCTTTTTTTTTTTTTGCCAAAATGGACCAAATAGAGGAAATTTGGTTTTTATTCTTTGCTTCAAATGGAATGTGAAGAGATCTGACCAAGAACCCCGTTAAGACAGCCTGATCTAAGCCCTAAAATTAAAAATATTGGCCAAGTCAAAATTCTGGGTCTGGGGAAATTAAAAATGTAAGCATCATCCTCCTCAACAATATTTATCAAGAGCTTAGTAATATTGCCCTGGGTACCTTAGTACTCTTAAATCCTTGAAGAGTCTAATGAAAAAAGGGATAGGGGTGGTAGCAAATGAAACAGTCCATAAACAAACAGGAGGAAGATTTAGAACCATTACATTACCAAATGAAAGCTGAAAGGGAAAAATGTAGCAACTAGCATCTTTTAATAGGATTTTTAATAGTGTTCAGGTTACCTACTGACTTCACTCAAACACAATTGCAAATCCAATAAAAGGTGCCAGGGAGACACTCAGGCATTGAGAATTTTGCTTTAATTGCTTAAAAAATATGAGAGTAATAATTAAGAACAAAGAGTTCTGAAGTTGTGTGTGGTCTTAATTGGTTTGGTTGTGAAGTCCTGCTGGATCGCTGCTAATGAGCCAGGTAATATCAGCATTCCATGCTCCTGGGGAGGGGGCTTTAGAGACTTCCATCATCACAAGACGGGTTAACTTGTGTTGATGATGAAGTCATAGGTCCAAGATAAGCTGTTACTTTTGTGTCTAATGTTCAGCATACTGATCACATTTTATTAAAATTGGGTGGTACAGTCATTGGTCTACACAGGTCTCGTGTTCCTGCCTGAAGACGTAGTGGGAACATAAGATTCACTGGTCTGGAATTGGAGTGGGAGAGGTTCAGGACAGGTCCAATTCCCACCATGATTGACTAGGACCACATTCTACCCCGGCTTGTCCTATCTGATGACAAAATAAATCCTGGAGTTAAATGTTGTCAGGAGTATGATTTTAGACACTTCCAGCAGAAGGTCAGCTCAAAATGTAGAATGACTAAGAATGTGTCCTCCTTTGTCAACACCTTCTCTAGCAAAGTCGGGCCAGAAGAGGGAGCAGGCAACTTTCCTAGCATGGAGAGGCATAGGAGATGGAAGAAGGGTGATTGCCTGAGATCAGTGTTGGTCCAGATAGTATAAAACTGGGGGCTACCACAGATGGAAGGGCATACAGTAGGTCATTTAGCAGCCTTGATGTTCATGAGCAGTGCAAAATCACTTCTCTGTGAGGATGAAGGAGGATGTAGCTAAGTATAAGAAACCCACGCAGTCTGTAGCCGTGTGTTTTACTGGATGGATCACAATGCTTTACAATAACTTAATGCCATACTAATTCTTGGCTGATAATTCTGCAAGGTAAAGAACTTTGTCAAAGGCATCTGTTAGAAATCCACATGGTTTCAGCTTGTTTGTTGAGCTCGACAAATATGTTTCCAAAGATATAATCAAATTTTTTTCTATTGATTAAAAAAGTATAAATATTAAACCTATCCATAGAGACATTTAAGTGTAATTAAAACAGATTGTTAAGCTTTAAAAATGTATTCTAATAAATGTTATAAAGGATAATGCTTATGATGGCACTATGAACTAGAGGAGGACCTGGGGTCACCAAAATCAATAGTAGAAAAAGTAGATTATATGCATCAGGCTCATTTGTTCTAGTTCGGTGTTAGTTTTTACTTCAAGGTTTGGTCTCACAGCTAAAGTCCGGATGATTTGCTTCAGTAAATTTTTCTTTTGTTATTTTACCTCTTACTGTCAAATATTTGCAACTTCTCTCTCTTACTGTTGCAATCATACACATTACCTAAGATACCCCATATAAATCAATGGATATTGTCATGAAAACTAAGAAAAAACCTATTGCTTCTCAAAAGTCCGCAGCTTACGGAGTTATGTGGGTCCATCTGAACAGATGTGAAGTCAATTTTTCTATTGCATCAATCGAGGGGACTATTCTTTCATTTGAATGATTATGTTAATGATTATGTTAAAGAAGAAAAATCCTGGCATATGTAATCACAAAAAAGGGGGAGAGGGGCACTCAATGGGTCTTAATCACAGACCCTTAAAAAACAATCATGCAATGGAGGCTCACAATCTGGTGATATTTGCAGTGAGAAACACCATTGCCAAGGGGATAAAAATACTAGTATTTTGACAATAATATTCTTTTTAGAGCTTTATGCTACTCAGGCCTGCTCCTGTCATCCTCATTACTTCCCTAAATGCCTTTTCTCCTCCATACTCCCAGATCCCCATTCAGCTGTTTCTCTTTCCTCTGTCCGTGCCCACCGCCCCCCAACTGGCAGCACACAGTTGCCCTCACTCCTAATCTATCCCACAGTTCCTCTGGAGTCTTCTCTCCTCACAAACCTGGGGTCTTCCCTGAATGTTGATTCCACTTCCTGGACTCCCATAAAAGTTCCTACACAGAAGGCTACATTCCTCCCTTGTTACAGACTACAAATTGCTGAGATGTTCTCGTGTCTCACTTCTGTTTCTGCACCATTGCTTCTTCCCATCTCACACAGAAATCTCTCATTACCAAAATTCATGGAGTCCAGCTATTTTTTTACCATTCTTTGTGGCCATGATGTAGTCAATGTCCCAGATCTCCCAGTCTTTGGCACCGAGCTTCCTGTTTCCACCATTGTTCTGGATGATTTCAGTGTTTCTGAGGAAAACCCACTCCACAGTCTTGGCACAGTTGCTCACAGCTTTTACCTCTCTTCAGTTTTGGCCGTTTGCCTCCAGGGTTACACATTATGCTGTTTCACAACCTAAACTCTCATATTCCATTCTCAGAACTTCTATCCTTGCTCCTTTATTTCTCCAACCTGTTCAAGATCATTAATGCCTGGTCTACCCCTACCTTTTCTGACAGACAGTACGCCCAACCAGACTTCAGTCTTCCTTCCCTAGCCTTTCCAGACCCCAGGCTACAGGATCTCAACTATTCACACCAGCACCACTGACTCCCTTGACCACTTCAGCCGTACCTGCCTGGTGAACCTCCAAACTAGGACCAGGACTCTTGCCACCCATCTTCTCCGCCCTTTTCCTTATCTGTTGAGTTAGACCAGAGAAAAATCATAAAACCGTGGCTAAAGAGCCACTGGAAATTTATGGTTTACCACCTCAGCAGTACCCTCATTCCCAAAACTCACAAAAGCTATTCCACTATTCTAAGCCCCCTCCTAGATTGACCCCCCAAAATTGCCTCTTACTTCACCACGTTTCCGCTGTCAGATGTTTCTCCCACCCCCACTCCCCCAGCAAGCACTTCCCCTTCTCCATGTATGTGTGTATCTAACCTCCCTTCTAGCTCACAGAAATTGCTATTCCTCCTTCCCAAGGGCTCCCAAGAACACTTTCTAATTCACTTCTTCTTCATTCCAACTCACTACTCTGGACCAACCAACCTGACCTCCGTCCCCATTGCTCCATTAAAATTTCTCTTACTAAAGTCACTAATGATCTAATAACCAAATCCAACAGTTCTCAGTCTCTTGACTTCCTTATTTGATACTGTTGATCATTTCATTTTTTTTTTTAAAGATTTTATTTATTTGAGAGAGAGCACACATGCACACAGAGGGAGAGGGAGAAGCAGACTCCCCGCTGAGCAGGAAGCCCGACGGGGCTTGATCCCAGGACCCAGAGATCATGAACTGAGCCAAAGGCAGCCACCCAACTGACTGAGCCTCCCAAGCACTCCTGATCATTTCTTCCTTGCAACACTAGTTCACCTTGTCTTAGACTTCTATTTCCTTAGTCTTATTCATTTGAAAGCTTCCTCTTCCTCTGCTCCTAAATGTTATTTACCAGAATTCTGCCCATCCTCTTTTCACTCCACTTTTTCTATCACCCACACAGTGGCGACACCCACCCCACACCCTCTCACCTCTTACATAGACTTTTTAAATGGTTGGCTAACTGATCTCCCTGCTTTAAGTCTTACTAACAACTGTCCATCCTCCAGATTGTACATATTGCTGCCAAAGTTGTCTACGATAGGACAGTGGATCCCATCAAAATCACCTTGAGTATGTTAAAACAGACATCTGGGTTCTATCCAGAGTTTCTGACTCATTAGGTTTGGGGCAGGGCTTGAAATTTTCCATTTCTAACAAGTTCCCAGTTAGGTAATGCTGCTGCTGCAGACCCAGATATTGTATTTTGACAATTCCTGACTTGAGAAACCTTGGAGTCATTAATCCTAAATTGAAAATCTTTCACTAGCGGTCTTCAGTTCCTAGACTTCTGTCTGCTTAAGAAATTACTTGAGCTGGGGCGCCTGGGTGGCTCAGTCAGTTAAGCATCTGCCTTCGGATTAGGTCATGATCCCAGGGTCCCGGGACCGAGCCCCGCATCAGGCTCCCTCCCTGCTCAGTGGGAAGCCTGCCACTCACCCTGCTTGTGCTGTCAAATAAATAAATAAAACCTTAAAAAAAAAAAAAATTACTTGAATTGCTTGTCGAAGGGGCACAATTTTGGGCTTTACTCTCAAGATTATGACAGTAGATCTGATGTAGTGTTCAAGGATCACACTTTTGAGAACCTGTGACCTACAAGATAATAAAAGTTCAAACCCCTTAACATGGAATTCAAGTCCTCCTATAATCTGTTCTTTGCCTACTTCTCTAGCATTATTGAACTAGTTATTTAAGAACTGGTGCAAGTCCATGCCTTGGGTTTTTGTCTATCTTGTTGCCACTACATGAACCCTCTCTCCCTAATTTATGTGGTACTCTCCCAGTCCTCCTTTAAAATGCCTATGTGTTACTGCTGCAGTGACGTCCTCCCTGACACTGCAGCTTCCAAGCAAAGTTGATGACGCTTTTCCGTGTCACCTCTGTACCTTGTATGTACTTCCTTTCTGAACACCCTTGTGTTATGATTATTGATTTACTTACCTGCCTTCTATTAATCAACTCTAAACATCACTATCTCTAGCACCCAGCAGTGTCCAGGTCATAGTAAGTGCTCAGGAAACAGAAATGGGGGAGGGGTAGTGGTGGTGATGATTTGATAGGGAGGGGAGAAGCTTAAGGAATATAACATGGAATCAGAGTAAATAGGATAATGAGGAACATTTCCATCATGCTCATGCCTGTGAACTATTTTCCTCTACTTACCTACCTTAAGCCACCCTAACAGCTGGTCAAACATCTTCCTTCCTTTTCTTGTATTCAAAGTTCACCCAACTAATCTTTTGCTATATACCATTTTTCCACACACCATTTAATTTCCCAGTATATAAACAATCACCAAAAGGCCATCCTTTACTGAGTATGCATCTCCTATCACTAAACAAAGATGATATCCTTTCTCTCACATGATCCATAATAGCATACACAGGTCACTGGTAATTTTTCTCTTCCCCATATGAATGTGGCATCTATAAAGGGCAGCTGAAATGAGTAGCAGCATGTTGAACTGCAGACTTTTATCTCCCTGATGCTGTCGTATCTGAAAAGAGAGGGGGGCACTTCCTAATTCCTTTAGCCGAAACTAGTTATTTCTTATCCTCATTAGTTTTGCCAGCCTGGCCTCTGGTCCTCCTGTACCACTCTGTTCAGGTCATGGCCGAGACAGGTCAAACTAGAAGGGGTGGGGATGGGATCAGCTTACAAGAGTAGTCTGTTATCTCTAATCAGTTATCTGGGCTGCTTTTCAGTGACAGAACCAACTTGGGAGCCATTTTGATAAGACATCTTTGTGCCAAGACCACCCATTTTGCTCTTAACTGTCAAGTAACCTCATCGAGATGTTAGTCAAGGGTGCCTCGGTGGCTCAGTGAAACGTCTGCCTTTGGCTCAAGTCATGATCCCGGGGTCCTGAGATCGAGCCCCGAGTTGGGCTACCTGCTCAGCAGGTAGTTTCTCTCTCTCCCTCTGCCCGCCCCTCCCCACCACTTGTGTATTCTCTCGCAAATAAGTGAAATCTAAAAAAAAAAAAAAAAAAAAGATGTTTATTAATCAAAAGAAACCCTATCTTTAAGACCCTAAGGAAAGAATACTGAAACGGCAACTTTCCTGCCCTCCTTCACTCCAGAACTACCACATTTAGGCTGAACCATTTATGAAACCAATATACTGTGGTTACCTTGCTATTTTTCCAATATATCAAAATTGTTCCCACCTTAGGCCACTGCCCTTGCTATTACTGAATACTCCCCAAAGCTATTTATATGGCTCAGTCTTGCTTCTTTGCTTTGCTCAGAAATTATCTTCTCAAAGATGCCTTCTAGCAATGCCACTCCTAGTACTTTCTATTTCCTTGCCCCAATTTATTTTCTCTTCACCACACTATTACTACCAGGAGACATTACATATAAATTTATTTATGGCACATTTTTGCACCCCCACATTGTAAGTTCTCTGAGGGTAGCGTCTTTGCGTTTCTTATTCACTGCTATCTATATCCCCAGTGCCTAACATGGTGCCTGGTGGTCAATATGCGTTTGTTGAATAGCTGAATAGATTCAGACTAATTGCCAAATTATGTAACTTAAAAAAAAAAGTATATACATCAAAATACTTAAGGAAACAATGGTTAATTTAAACACAGCATTCACCTTGGGTAGCTGTATATATACACCTACCCCTCATCATGCTGCCTTTGCTGAAAACCTGTTGGGAACTCTTCTGCAAGAATTGTTTTCAGAGCCAGTTTATGAATTACATGATTGGTCTTTTTACTTCGTAAGTCATACTGTGTTTCACCAAAAAGTTCACAGTGTAAAAAAGCCAAACCAAGCACAGAAAACATATGAGAATATATTTCAGGCTCTCAAGACAAGGCCTCAGAAGCTTAGATGACTAGTGACATCAATTGACGAAGATCACCTCTCGAGAATACGGACATGGACTGAAAAGGGTTAATGCTCACAAACATAGAGGTTCTGGAATTTGAAATTAAAAACACACATTTTAGGCACAGATCAAATTATCGGGGGACAAAGAGGTAACTTCTTCTATTTCACTTCAGCTTATAACTCCAAATAGGCCGCTGTAGGTGAGCTGCTGCCCAGACTGCATCCAAGATCGTTTAGCTGAGGACTTGCCCATTCTTCTAGTCACTTGGGATCTTCAGCCTGCCCATACTCCAGCCCACATGGCATTTGCACTCATCTTCTCCCACTGGTCCAGCCATACACCTTCTTCCTGAGTGCAGGCACTCTAAAGACTTTGTCTTAAAAAGTATCACTTCAAACAGCTAATAATTAAAGGAAAATCTTAAGAGGCAAAAGAAGTGAAAGAACAGGGAAAATGACAGCAATATCCTCTGAGTTTCAGGACAGCAGCTTATTCATAGGTATTTTTAAATGTCATTCGGCAGAACAAAACACTGAGTTCCTATTTCTCAGAAATGCTTCCTTCCAGGATGCAACAAAGAGAGTCCCAGCCAGGACTATAAGCCACTCTTTGCCCCAAGTATTCCAAAACTATTAACCAGCCAAAGAGAAAGAGAATGGGTGCTGTCAGGCAACTCCACTGATCTCCCTTTCTGTAGCACAGAGGCCAACTGAGGACTGAAGATAATGAAAGGACAGGAAGGAAAGTAGACACACCAAAGATATGGTGTCAAGTGATATATGAGATGTGTTCATAAATGAATGAGTTATTCCAGAGCCATATAAACAAATCAATCTCTTTACTGGAGAGGCACACCTCTCGTCCTGTGTATTATTCAAATGTACTAACACATGAAAGATCACATCACCTTGTTTGTGGATACATTTAATATCCCTTACCCTTCCCACCTTTCAAAACATAATAGTATACAAAATATAAAATATCTTAAATATTTATAAAAATCGCAAGAAAAAAATAGAACGTATGAAAATATTTTTATCTGAGTTCTCCCTCATTGTTGAGAGGCAGCTTAGTTTGCCTTGAGTTCGTAACTGTTGAGTGGGTAGGAGTATGCCCTGCCTAATACTATTCTGTCCCGGAGAAGTTTAAATAAAACATAGTAGTTGCAGAAGAGGATGAGAGCCATGGAAAGTGTGTGGTTCCACTTCTCTGACCGCAGCAAGGAATAGAGCTGGTAGAAGACGACACTGCCCTCAATAAGGATAAGCAGATTTAACAGCCTTAATGGACGATGAAATAGGAACTGTAAGGAAGGTGAAAAGCAAAACATTATTTCATAGAAAGGTAAAGACTGTAGTTATTCTCACATTTTTCTCCTAAAACAATTTCATATTTACAGGTTCCTGTGTGCAATAACATGGATCTGCTTACTGAACATCAGGCTATTTCTTGCTGTAGAGACCCAAACCTTCTCCTTTTTGCTCAAGGAATAATGAAATGAATTTTATTTCAATGCCCTGAGATATGAGAAAGGATCCCACCTAAAAGAACTGCCTCTAAACATTTTTCTTAAAATTATATCTTGGGTATATATTTTATTTGAGATAATCAAAAGTACATTTATCTAAGATAGGGACTGGATAAAGGACTGAATGGAAAATATTTTAGACTTTGCAAGATGCAAAAATTAAAGATATTATATAGGTACTTAAAGCCATTTAAAATGAACCATTTAAAAAAGTAAAAATCATTGTTAGTCTGTGGGCTGATCTAAGACATAAACACACAAGTCTGGGGGGGAGGGGAAGTCTTACAAGCGGAAATATCAACACAATAATTTCTTAATTTTCCCTTAAACCATTTACCCACCATCATCACTGACTCAAATCCTCTACACCATATATTTCTGCTGGGTTTTTTCTGGATATTAAGAAGTAGGGTGCACAGACAGGACAATGAGGAAGGAAAAATTAATCAGAATTAGAGTTTGGCTAAAAACAGGGCTGCTCACTGTTTTTATTCCACCAAATTCCTCACTTTAAGAGGCTAAATCCTGGTTTACTAATAAAAACATATTATGAATAGAAAGATAGAAGGCTGCAAACTGTGGCAATGGTAGTACATCAGATTTAAATAAACTAATTTAGACCTCAAGGTTCAAATCTGAGAATAAAGCCAAATCATCACGACAGCTCCAAAAGGTAGCAAGGTTCTTCGGGTCCTTCTTTGAGAGAAAGAAAATGTTTAACCTGGGTTATAGTATATGATATCCAGTAATACCATGTATAAAATTGGCTCAGAATTAATATTCCAAAAGGACTCAGGCAATGGTAGTTTCTGCGACAATTGTAACAATTAAAATTAAATGTGCCAGTAAGCTATAAAATGAATGAGTAGAAAGGTGAGGAAAAGTTTTAACTTCTAACAGCTATAGGCAGTCGGCACATTTTAAATGAGTGTTCTCAAACTTCAGTGTGCCTAAGAATCATTTCCAAATAGGTGAATGCTGCAAATTCCTGGAATCCTTCAGACATTCTGATTCAGAAGTCTGGGGTAGGGACCCTGAATTACTTTAAAGAGTGAGCCAGGTGATTTATATGCAAGTGGCCCAAGGACCACTTTGGCAAAACACTGATTTACCTGTTCGGTCATGCAAAATCAGTAATAAGTTAATTTCCCTAATCCTTATTCTTTGGATTTCACCTGATTCTTCAGCTATCCAACACACTAGCAAGGAAAATACTTATTTTTCAAGCAGAAAACTCCAGTAGAGTATCTGGTCATTACAGGTTTCTTGAGGCGACTGCAAGGGCCAACAGAAGTAGAAGTCATTAACGGCCTATGGAATACACCTGACTGAATTAAATATTCTGTGTAGAAACCAAATGCTTCTTATGTGGTGTGACTTAAGTCCGCTCCTCCCTAGTTTCCTCATTCAAGGGCCTTTCACCTGCCCCATGCTCCTCCCAGCCCCCACCCTGTCCTCCCCTACCCACCCCCATTGTATTTACAAACATCCAGCCCTGATGTGAAATTCCCAGTATTTAACTGAAAGGCCCTTAGCAGCAAACACCTGCAGAACCAGAAAGCCCATGTGCCCTCACAGGGAACTGGGAGGGAGGCAGAATGAGATGCAAGTATCTCAAAAAAAGATCTCCAATTCTTTTTTAGACTATAATCTCCATTGAAAGGCAAGGCACTGCACTATGAACAGTCCCCTGCATGCACCTTCTTTTCCCCACTGCCACTGATCAGCTAGCCTTTCCCATATAAATAAATACTTCTGCCTCCTAGAGTCAGAATTTCCAGAAAACTGAAAGATCAATAGAACATAAACCAAGGCATAAATTCAAATGAGACAGAAGCTGGGTTTAACGGATGTCTATTGCTTCTTCCTTTTTAACTGGTAAGCCTTTTTCCCTTTAATCCAGGAAAAGGTAAAAGGCCAGAGATCATGGCATTTGTCTTACTTTCAAAAGGGAAGTCAAGGTACTTTAAGGAGGTGATACAAATGACAAATAAGAAAAAAACGACAAAAAACAAAAAAACAAAAACAACCCCAAACAACAAAAAAAACCCAAACCCAATAAAAACAAACAAAACCATTACATTATTACTATATTAAATATCACTTAAGGATACATAAACACAATATAACAAGGATACCACTAAACCAAACTATTACAAATAAAAATTATAAGATGAAAAAGGGAAGTCTTAAATAACTGCCTACTTGTTTCAGGTAATACTAGACACAACAAATCCCAATATGACTTTTAAGCTGTTGGAGCTGGGACAATGCTATCTGGTATCTGATCTTCCAACTGCCTTTCAGAATATATTTCCAAGAGACAAGGGCCATTATTATAGCAGTAGTAATAATTACCATGTGCTATACACTGTGCTAGGTGCTTACACACATAGTGGCCTCCTAACACTTACCACTAAGTTTATGTTTGAAAAGAAATAAGTGGTACTTGCATAAAAGCGGGCATGGGATACGTCTGAAGGCACTGCCACGTTGTAAGGCCCCATGGCTCTATATAAGCATCTGCTGTGTCGCACCAGCACCCCTTGAGGCCATATTGTATTTTCTGACCAACTAAGGGAGAGAGAAATGCAATGTTAGCATACTGGCAATTACAGATAAGACAGTGTCTGGCAAGGCCAACTACATTTCTGTGGAAGGGATTAAGTATTCAAGGCTTCATCTGCCTGAATTCTGAGAATACATTGTATAGTCAAACTGGAAAGAGTCAGGAAGGATTTGTTATCATAACTTCATTGCTATATAGTAGAGAGGCTGCAAAGTGATACAGTTAACTCGGTGTCAAAGGACTTATGAGGCGTTGGAGAATGAGCAGAAGTTAATGTGTAAGGCATCTATGAGCCAGAAAATCGAGTGTAAGTAAGTGGACTGTCATCTCAATCCCAAGTGAGCAAAATCTATTGATGGAAATGCTAGAGAGAACAAACAAGAGAAAGTGGACTGTAGTGAGAGTAGTGGAGAAATGAACACACTGTCAAACCAGCATGACATCTACTGTAGAACAACATCCCAAAAGCTATAGAAAATCAGTCTATTTGTCACATACTTCAAATGCCTCATATATGCGTGAAGCTATACAGAACACAGAGACACACAAGGTAATGACACACAGACTTTACTTTTTACTGCTTTCTTGGTTTATTTTTATAGAAGTTTCTCTAGGAAAAAGAAGTTATGGAAGAAGCTTCATTGTTTCCAGCACCAATGTAATGGAGTTGGGGTGGGGTTGGGGATCTTCAGGTTAAGCTTTTTAAAAAATCTAAGTTAATTAATCTCTTCCTGATTTTGGAAAGGTTAGTTTCCTAGGGTAAGAACTGGGACATTTTAGGTATGTTAAAAAAAAAAAAAAAAAAAAGGAAAAGAAAAAAGTCTAGCACCCTGAAGCTTTCCCAGTTCAGAAAATGGTCCGTCGGCCTTGCTCACACTTACCAGCATTAAAGTGATGATACACCTCATGGCCATGTGCCATCAAGGAGCCTGAAGATGTACAGTACTAGTACTGTGGATTGTATTTTCAATTTTTATTGAAATTTGTCCTTTGCCCACAGTCGGGTTTCTTTTCAGCCTGGCCCAATCTCTTTCAGTTCCTGGGCTTGAAGGCCTGTGCTAATCTGTATCAGACATCAAGGCAGATAATTGAAGGGAGGACTCTGAGGAGGACAGGGGAAGGGAAAGTCCCCTCAATCTGTCCCACTTCATTAGGAAAGAATTTCTAGGTGATGAAATTTGTGAAATGTTCCAATTATAAAAGGGAGGAAGATGAAGATGGTCCAGGTCTGAGAGGAAGGTACGGTGAAGGGCTCAGAAGTGAGAGAACAAAAGGGTTCTAAAGTTACCCATTTTGGATCACAGGGACCATGCAGAGAAATGACTGGTAAGGGGACACAATGAGAGGAATACTCAGAGAGAACTCAATTAGGGAGAGTTTTCATTTAAGTATGGGAAAAGCAGGGAAACATTCACTAGCGAGTTTAGGAAAAAAGATAAAAAATGCAAGCAAGGAAAACTACTAGAACATATTTGCATTTATTAGAAAGAAAAGACGAGAGAAGCAAATTCTAGCTGCCTGAGTGTAAGATGATTAGCTAGCAACTATTTAGCTGTGGCAATGAGGAGGAGAAGATGAATCTTACAGGCTTCCAAAGAGAATTAAAAATATATCATGACTCTGTGAATTTGGGCAAAGGGTTAAGACTGAAAGAAAACTCCAATATTACAGCTTGGGAAACAAATTACACACTCCAGGGTGACCGGGCAGCTGAAAGGTAGGAGGCATTTAAGGAGGGACTGGGGATGGTGGTGGGAATGAGTTAATGCCCCCTGTGTTCAGTTTAGAGTGATGACAGGCATCCACGTAGACAAAAAACTAAAAATTAAATGTTCAAAAGCCAAGAACAAGAATGGCATACAAAGCAAATAAACATGATCAGCAACATGTAGAAGGTGTTATATGGTTTCACCCTCTAGGCTACTCACATGTGCTGTGGAGCATTGCTGTAGGACCCATGTTCAAGCTTCTGCCACTTGCCCAGGTGAGCAGCTGATTTATGTAGCAAATCACAGTATTTGGATGGTAGCAGTTGTGTGGTGAGCATGACAAAAGCATTGATCCACACCATAATGAGGTGCTCACATGACCAGCGCATGTCATAGTACTGGGTACTCTGGAAAAGATCAGAAAAGGGAGAAATGATCCATGCACTGTTAAGCAAGAAGGTAGGGATGGGTGCGTGTACATACGCCCTGCAGACAAA